AATATAAAAATTAAATAATTTAAAATATTTAGAAAAAAAAACAAATAAAAATGAATATATCTTTAAAAAAAAAAAAAGAAAGCACAATTGTGTATGTAGCAGAGTGGCACAGATGGTTGTGATGACAGAATTAGAGCCGTCTAATCTTCCAAGGAGCTTCCCCCTACATTTAGAATAACTTCCAGTTTCTTTAACTTTTATGTATGAACTGCTCCTGTATGGACCCAGCCCCTAAAAGATCTCAATCTTTTACTATTAGCATGTTTGCTTAAGCTACCTTGGTCCTCACTGTGACCTTTAAACCCATTAAATATGTTTCCAGTTCATAGCTTCTGCATTTCCTTTCCTATGTAGCTGGAGTGACACTCTTTGGGATTTTAATTGTTTTCTTTGCTTAGATCTGTTCTCAGATGTTTTCTCAGGATTTTCACTGACTCTCCTTCCTAAACAAGTCTCCTCTCACTGGTTTATCATGTTTTTCTTTTAAAGATTTTGTACTAACCTTACTTACTGAAATTCCATTAGAATGGAAACACTGTGATTTTGTTTTGTGTGTCAACTTTGTGTGTTAATCCCCCCCCCAAAAAAAACAAAAAAAACTAGTCTGGTATATCAGAGAGACTTTAAAGAACAAAACTGTGAGATGAGGGAATCAGTGAATCAGGGTGATGACAGTAGAAGATGACAGTTTTTTGTCATCTGCTGGGAAAGCACCAGGAGACAAGGAATCTTGAACAAGCACGATGGTTATTAAAAATACTGTCCTCCTTCGTGGCTTCTCGTTCCCATTGGGATTTGGAGGTGCAGGAAGATACTCTGCCTGGCCTGAAAGTGAGTTTTAGTCTAATATGTCTGATCCCCAAAGAAAGAAATGCTGGCCACTTGGGAAGATTCTGTCGTTTTAGACTTTTGAAAAGTCATTTTTCTTTTCTTTTTCTGTTGTCTCTTTTTGTTATCTATTGTAAATTTTTATTATTTAGGTAATTGGATAAACTAAACTTTGATTTCAAGCTTCATTATTGTATGAATTTGTCTAAAACCAGTATAGGCTTGTAAGGCATTTTAAAGCTATTTGTAGGTTAATGCAATTTATTGCATTCATCTTTAATTTTATTATTAATTTTTATCGATTGTTTGAGAGGCAGGGGAGACAAACATATACAGCAAGAGACATGATTCTTATCCACTGATCAGTCTGCAAATGCCTGTAGTGACCAGGTCTGTCTTAGGGTCAAGACTGGAGCCAGAAGCTGGGGACACAATCCAAGTCTCCCAGATGAGTGTCAGGAAGCCAGTGTTTTGAGCTCTCACCACTTCTTCACAGAGTCCACTTTAGCATGTGTCTTAACCTTTAAGCTAAAAGCCTGCTCTGTGAGCCCTATTTTTTTTTTTTTTTATGAAAACATATGTCTCTAAAAGGTACATATTCTCTTAGGACAGAAGTGTATTTAGATTATTTTAAAGCTCTTATCTCTTGTCCATTTTCTAAATCCATGAATATTTAGAAGAAAAATATATAGGTAAATTAGGAAGGGAAAAATAGATTTTTATAAAATAGTCTTTCAAGAATAAACAGTTGTAATGATGTTGATAACAATAGCTTCCCTGTAAATTTTAGTTAAATGAATAGAAGTCATGTTCTGTGGATATTAGAAATATTTTACCCATATGTATTTGATCAGTATACCATAATTATTTCAGATTTTAGTAATATTTCAGATTTTGTGGCCATTAGTTCTCATGGCCACAAAATTACACTGTTTATAATTCTTACTTTTTTTGAAGCAAGTTGCGTTTTTAAAAATCTGTGAAATAGGGCCCAGAGTGGTAGCCTGGTGGATAAAGTCTTCACCTTGCATGCACTGGGATCCCGTATGGGCGCTGGTTCATATCCTGGTTGCTCCACTTCCCTTCCAGCTCCCTGCTTGTGCCTGGGAAAGCAGTGGAGGACAGCCCAAATACCTGGGACCCTTCACCTGCATGGGAAACCTGGAAGAGGCTCCTGGCTCTTGGCTTCAGATTAACTCAGCTCTGGTTGTTATGGCCACTTGGGTAGTGAATCAATCGGCAAAGGATCTTTCTGTCTCTCTTCTCTGTAAATCTGACTTTCCAATAAAAATAAATAAATCTTTAAAAAATGTAAAATAAAATGTTTTCTAACTTTTGTTTTCATCATAAACTATTTTCTTAAATTGTTTTCCTAGTTTAAATTGTTACCACATGATTCATATTTTTATTTTCAATTAATTTTCAAGTTCTTGTTAAATTTATTATACACCCTTTTTGAACAAAGGCATTATGATATTGCTACTTTTCAAAGTAATTTTTCATCTAATGAGAAATTTATATAAATTTATTTATGAAGAAATGATTTATAACTATTACCTAGAATTATTGAGCACTTAATATATGCTAAGCATGTATTCTTTGCTTCATGTTCTCTTATTTTTTCCTAACTACAGCTCTATGAGATTCACATTTACTGTTTCCTTTTTCCCCCATATACCACACATTTATTTCACATGTGTGGAAAAAAAGATGCTATAAATTGAGGAAATGACTTCTTATGAGAGTCTCAGGCACTTTTTATTTTTTAAAATATATATTTATTTATTTGAAAGACTAAGTTTTAGAGAGATGAGGATCTGGGGGGAGAGAGAGAATCTTCCAGTTGCAGTTGTGTTGCCCAAAAATAGCAGCCAGTGCCAGAAACTCCGTCCATATTTTTCGCTATCTAGCAGTGGCTCAAGGGAGCATCTGAGCGGTCCTTTGCTTCTTCCTTGGCACAGACACAGGAAGCAGAACTGGAAGCAGGTTGCCCAGAACGTCAACCAGTTTTCCAATATGGGATGCTAGTGGTTGTAAGTGGAGTTTCTGTTCTGCACTACAACACCAACCCCAGAAGTCATGCTCCACTGCTGCTCGTTGTCTTACAAAGATCTACAGAGCTCTTTTTCAGTTGATTGAATTGATAAGTAAGCTTTGAACCAAAAGGAAGCTATTGTCATGTGAGGTACAAATATTTACATTATATGTGACTTTAGTTTAAGATGACAATGTGTGAACATTTGAAACAGTTTAAATTACAAAATTAAGATGAATAAAAAATTGAAGATGAAGAATTGCAGATCAGTTTGAGCTCGCACATGCTAAAAGTTTATTTGGGATGTTACAAGTTGTAACTCGAACAATACAGATTCATATTGTCCTGATTGCTTATTAGGCAAGCATAGCTGATGCATTATAAAGCACTAAGGCTTATTTTGGAGGGAACTTTCGTTGGCTGTGGAAGAGCAGTAGCTTTGGGATAGGCTTTATGTGACTAAAGATCAGAAAGAATGCATTATTAGTAAAAGTGTCCATGAAGTAAGAGTTCAGTAACCTTCTGATGTGCACCTGGAGTCTCTGGATGCAGTATGCCTGTCTGTGCTTCAGATGTCTTCAGTCCAAGGGTACCAGTGACCGACAGTTCACATTCCAAGCAGCAGCTTTAGCTATGCCTACATTCTGTTCCCATAATAGCTTCCCTATTCCATTTGGGAAAGCTCTCAGTGTTGCTTTCATAGTGATTTTTTTTTCTTATTTTTTTCACAGTGAAGGCCATTGATTTGGAATGACCTCCTGTAACCACACCGAACAGATTGAACCAATATAATCATTCATGTTGAAGTTGCATATTACCATGTTGAACTAAATTGTTTAACAGACCTTCCAAGCAGTCAGTAATGTGTGAGATCACAGCCACAAATCTAATCAAGCCAGCTGTACCTGGCATAACAAGGGAAAGATCTCTGGTTTTTAATTAATTCCCTACACACACTCCTTTAACCTTTACAAGAAAGGTAATATTGAAACAGGCAATCCAGTTATTGTTCTTCATTTCTGGTTTCCACAGTTTTTTTTTTTTCTCTGTGTTTGAAACCTATTTCTTATTAACTCATCAGAACACTCATTCTGTTTTTACTTTTGTTTATTTTCTAGGATTTATTTTATTTATTTGAAAGGCAGAATTTTGGGACCCGGCATGGAGGCCTCGTGGCTAAAGTCCTTGCCTTGCATGCACCTGAACCCTATATGGGCACCGGTTCATGTCCTGGCAGCCCTGCTTCCCATCCAGCTCCCTGCTTGTGGCCTGGGAAAGCAGTTGAGGACGACCCAAAGCCTTAGGATGCTGCATATATGTGGAGACCTGGAAAAAGCTCCTAGCTCCAAGCTTCAGATTGGTTCAGTTCAGGTCGTTGCTATAATTTGGAGTGTTAACCAGTGAGCAGAATCTTTATCTCTGTTTCTCCTACAGATCTCTCTGTAGATCTGCCTTTCCTATAAAAATAGATAAATACATGATAAAAGTATTTGAATTAAAAGGTGCTTAGGAGAAACACAGTTAAAAGGGGGGGGGGGTAAATACTTGAGTTTAAATTAGAGTTTAAATATGAGTTTAAATAGACCATAAGTTTTAGATTTCATTTTTGTCTCACCCAACAGTAAGAAGAAAAAGAATAAATGCTATGTGTTGTACTACCTTCTCTATAAGTCCTCTTGTTTTCATAAGTGTTTCATAATTGTATTAATTCTCATATTCCATTATGTTCATAATTGTTTTTATTAACCCAGTAAGATACCAAGCTTTGTGAGAATAGACATCTAATTTAGACATTTTTTTGTAAGTAGTGTATTTTATCCTGAGACCTCTAACAGAATTCATACAGTAAATCAATAGTTAAACTTAGGACTATATCAGCATTTTTATTTTTAGTTAATTAAATATATACTATGATAGTTTAAGCTACTTCATGTTCACAAGAGGCTTTGGTAAAATTGAAAAGTAAGTTATTACTAAATGTGATTTATTTTAAAAGTAATTTTATAAACATGGATATTTCATGATGAAAGGTTAGAAATTAATGTTAGTGTGATCGAATGTGAAGTAACAATGGTTATTAAAAAATACAGTTTATTTGTTAAGAGAAAGTAATCAATGATTTTTTTGTTTGTTTTAGGGAATGTTGTGGGCAACTTGGGACATTCTTTCTTTAGTCAAAGTTTCCTTGGCAGCAAAGAGCATGGTGGATTCTTATATGTGACATCTACTTACCAGTCACTACAAGACCTAGTGCTCCCAACCCCACCTTACTTGTTTGGGATTCTTATCCAGAAATGGGAAACTCCATGGGCTAAAGTGTTTCCTATCCGACTTATGTTGCGACTTGGAGCTGAATATCGACGTAAGTAATGAGACAGTTAAGTGAAACGCCAATGCATAAGTGGCTAAATAAGGCCAGTACTGTTCTCAGCTCTTTAGTTTGGTGGTATAGGTCAGCAAAAATGATGTTTTGAAATAGCTCTATGTTAAATTTTTTCACTGTTTCTACTTGATTTGCTAGTAATGGGAAGTACTGAAAGTATCAAATGAGAAAGTTGGTTATTATTAGCGTGTAAGTTTATTACTTTTATAGTTCATTGGGAAAAATATTGTTTTCAAATAAATGAGTATGAACATAACTGCTTTAATAATGTCTCTAATAAATGATACATTATATCCTTTGTTGCCAGATTGGAATATATGGCAAACAATGTTTTAATTAACAGATCCTGGAAATTCGTATTAATTTCCTATAAAAGTAGATAAATACATGATAAAAGTATTTGAATTAAAAGGTGCTTAGGAGAAACACAGTTAAAAGGGGGGGGGTAAATACTTGAGTTTAAATTAGAGTTTAAATATGAGTTTAAATAGACCATAAGTTTTAGATTTCATTTTTGTCTCACCCAACAGTAAGAAGAAAAAGAATAAATGCTATGTGTTGTACTACCTTCGCTATAAGTCCTCTATAAGTCTCAATTAGCAGGATAGCTACAGAAAAAGAAACTATTTGCCTGTGCAACTAAGTTGTGATTTTATTTATTTTTAAGATATGTTTATTTATTTATTTATTTTTAAAGATTTATTTATTTTTATTACAAAGTCAGATATACAAAGAGGAGGAGAGACAGAGAGAAAGATCTTCTGTCCGATGATTCACTCCCCAAGTGGCTGCAACAGCTGGAGCTGAGCCACTCCAAAGCCAGGAGCCAGAAGCTTCTTTCCAGGTCTCCCACACGGGTGCAGGGTCCCAAGCCTTTTGGCCATCTTTGACTGCTTTCCTAGGCCACAAGCAGGGAGCTGGATGGGAAACAGGGCTGCCGGGATTAGAACCAGCGCCCAGATGGGATCCCAGGTGTGCAAGACAAGGGCTTTAACCACTACACTATTGCAGCAGGCCCTAAGTTGTGATTTTAAAAAAGAAAAATAAAATGTAAACTTTATTTAAAACAGTATAAGCTAACCTAATTAAAATTGCTGTCATGTACGAATCAGACCATTTAAATAAGGTTAATCAGAAGCTGTATAATTTTGAGCTAATCAGGTTCTCTTATTTTCACTTAGGTTTTCTGCCATTTTCTTTTGTAAGCTGAAGATGATAGTTTTAGTATTTTATATTATATTGAATTATTAAAAGGGTAGAATGAGGTAATAATGAAATATTTTATAAATAGTCGGACAATATATATTCTTAGCAAGGCAACTTAATTTTTTTAGTCACGTGTTCATTCATTCATTAAGAATTTAATAAGGACCTATCATATATTATAAATCCTGGGATTTCAGAAATGTCTAGACGTAAGTACAGTCCTTTGGGAACCTGTATGAGGAAAACATACAAAAGTCCTCATTTTAGTAGCACGTGATGTTAAAACCTATGCTTAAAGTTAGGTTCCTTGGGAGCTCCAAAATGGAATGAATGAAGTGGTTGAGAAGCACTTTTCAGATCTACATTCCTGTGGCAGAAACTATGAGTGAGGCAAATGGATCAGCTAAATGAAGCAAGGAAGGTTAAGATTGTGTGCAGACGATACATTCATAGCTTTCATGGGCCTTTCAAATCATAAAGTTGGCAGGATGAGTCATGTGGTACATCACTTGGTATTTGGCTGTCCCAAGGCGACCCTACTTAGGAACTGAGTGGACTCTTAAATGTTCTTGGTCAAAGAGGAATCAGGAAATCATTGTTTCCTGGACCATGTCAAATCATATCAACGCAGTTTAAAGAAGATTGCTTCCTAAGACCTTTGCACCATTTTTGAAACTACTAATCAGAAGACAAATCTGGGGGTTAGCATTATGTTGTAGTAGGTAAAACCACTGACTGTGATACTGACATCCCATATGGATGCTAGTTCATGTCCTAGCTGCTCCATTTCCGGTCCGTCTCCCTGTTAATGGTCAGAGGAAAAGCTGTAGAGATATCCCAAGTGTTTGGGTTCCTGGCTTCTGGGTTTGGCCTGGCTCAATCCCTGTTGGGACCATCTGAGAGGTCTACCAGCAGATTGAAGAGCTACCTGCCTCTATGGCAGTCTGCTTCTGTCTCAATCTCTCACTAATCCTGACTTTCAAATAAATAAATAATTTTTAAGAAAAAGGGCTTATTCTCATTAAAAGATTTTGGCTTAGGATTCTTTTTTAATGATTTATTTATTTGAAAGGCAGGTAAAGTGAGAGAAAGAGAGAGACAGAGAACAAACACAGAAAGAGATCCATGTACTGGTTTACTGCCTAAACAGACAAAACCCAGCTGGGACTGGGTTTTATGGTGACTCCAGGAGCCAAGAACTGTATCTAAATTTCCTAGGTGGGTGGCTGGGGCGCAGATACTCTGGCCACTGGTCAGACTGAGAGAAACTGGGGCTTGAACTAAAACTCATATGGGGTGCTGATATCACACATGGCAACCTTAACCCACTGCCTCCTGCCCACCCCAGTGCTGGCCCCTGCTTAGAATTTGTCTGCTTCCATGCTGCTTTTTGAGTTGTAAATTTGAGATGTTCTGATGAGCCATTATCAGTGTATTTTGAAAATTATAGTAGCTGCTTTTTAACCAGAATTTTAAACTGCCAAGCTAACTTTAGTCTGATCGTTTCTGATTTTCATAGTTTATCCATGCCCACTATTCAGTGTCAGATTTCGGAAGCCATTGTTTGGAGAGACGGGGCATACCATCATGAATCTTCTTGCAGTAAGTTGGGAATTTTTCTTTTTTTCTTACCAACATTTGTGAGCAAATAGAGAAGGATTTTATTGTTTTGATGGTGAACACACCATTGCTGATTTAGCCAGCTGAAGATTTATGCAGGAGAAAAAGAAGCAGAACATACAAGAATATACTCCTTTGAAGAATATGGAATTCTGGAGCAAAACAGTAGAGATTTCCAATAAGCATCTAACACAGTATCATGTTATTAGATTGGCTTCCTGGAGGTTTCCCCTGTGTCCGTTTTGTTTCCTACTCGGCTAGACAAGTCAGATCTTAAACTCAAATACCCCAAGACATTGAGGCTTCTGACTTTCTGCTGATTTCATCTCTTACGCGGATTTGGATTCATACTTCACCCTTTCTGCCTGCTGTGTCTCCACTGTCGTGCAGACCTTGACTCTGTTGACCTAAGAACATTGGTTGGCTTGGATCCTCTGAGCTCTCTGTGCATGTGTGCAGAGGCTAAGGTCAACCCAGGGTATTTGGAGGGTTTTATGAGGTGCTGCATGGCTAGCTCACCTGTGACTTTCCCATCTCCTCTTTAACCTCTGGCTGCTGTGCATATACATTGCTTGTCCCAAACAAGGTGGTCACCTCAGGCTAACAAAATTCTTAGCACTCATTTATCACTAGGCAATGAGATTACCACTTTTATAATGCTCCAATCAAGTAGAGCCCTTCAGGAGACAAAGCTTATTTTTACGAAGTAGGGATACTTTTCCCTGCTTGAATTGCCTAACTAGAAAACAAGGCTGGAGGGCAGCCCTAGGCAAGAAAGAGCCAGATTCAGCTCAGTTGTTATTACTTGAAATTAAGTGTTTTTCAAGAAGCATGCCTCAATATGTTGTGTTTTCTGTATAAACCTAATCCCAAAGCACTAACGTAATTGCTTTTAAAATTATTTACCCAGGTTTCTGGTTGCTTTTGGGGAGGGATTCATTGATCATCTCACACTGCTGTGCTGAAAGTTGTAGTTTCTTATCTTTCAAAGAGATTTTATCAATAAGAATAACTTTTGCTTGTTACTCATGTAGTGTAGTTCCTTTTTCTGTATAACCCCTGTATTCTATCTGGCATGATTTCTTTCAGCCTTAAAATGTGTAGCATTTTGTATAGGTTTGCATGTGATGAATTTTTTTCAGCTTTTTATTTCCATCAATATCTTTATTTTTAATCTTCATGTTTGAAAGATGTTTTTGCCAAATGTAGTATCTAGGTTGAAAGTTGGTTACTGCTTCACTGTCCTGACTTCTGATTTACATAGTTCCAGGAAAGGAATCCGTATTTCTTGTCTTTGGTCTTCTCTACATAATATTTTTAAAGATTCTCTGGCTACTTTCAATATTTTATTTTACCATCAGTTTGGAGAAATTTTATTATACTATGCAATAGTATTAATCCTTCATGTTCTTATGCTAGTAGTTCATTAAGCATCTTGATCGGTAAGCTTAATAATTTTCATTAACTATGTTTTCTGTTCACTCTCTTCTCCAGAAACTCCAATCACAAATACTCAGGATGCTTGGAATTGTTTCACAGTTGACTGATGTTCTTATTTCTTGTTCAATCTTATTTTTCTCACTAATTGTCATTTAGGGTAGTGTTTTGTTATGGCTTCAAGTTCACTAATTTTTGTTTTTGCAGTGTTAAGCTACCATTAATACAATTCACTTAAAAAAAAGTTTCACTCAGACACTATGATGTTCATCAGTAGAAATTTTACTTGAATCTTTCATCTATTTACTTTTTTGAACATTTAGATAATGGTAATAATTACCAAGAAGTTCATGTTTAGTAATTGTAGCATCTTGAATCAGTTCTGATTCAGTTTCTTTTGACTTTTCCTCCCTTAACTTTGAGTTCTACTATCCTACTTCTTTTCATGTTTAGTGTTTTGTATGTATGTTGTTAGGTATACCACATACTATGAATTTACCTTGCTTGGATGCGGAATAGCTCTGCATTTCTATCAGTGTTAATTTTTTTAAAAAAGATTTATTTATTTTTATCTTAAATCAGAGTTATAGAGAGGGAGAGACACAGAGATCTTTCAGTCTTTCATGTGCTGGTTCACTCCTTGTGTGATTGCAGTGGTCAGGGCTGAGCCAAGCTGAAGTGAGGAACTTCATTTGCATGTCCCAAGCAGGTGGCAGCACCCAAACACTTGGGCCATCTTCTGCTGTTTTCCCAGGTCTTAGGGAGGTAGATTAGAAGTAGCGCAGCTGGCATCTAGGCCAGCAGATGATCTTGCTGCTCATCAGAGGATGGAAAGGAAACAGATTGGACAGTTCTGCTGGCCAAGATTTGCATCATGTTCCTGGGTCTGTGGATACTCTAATGTGGTCTTGATCAGCCAATATACCTTGGAAAGATTTTCTCAATTCTAGTACATGTTGTTATGAGATACTCTCAAAAACATCTCAGAACTATCAAAACCACTCAAGAAGCACCATTGGAACGGTCTTCCCCCACATCAGGGGCTTTTTTTTTTTTTTAAAGATTTATTTTATTTTTATTGGAAAGGCAGATATAGAGAGAGGAGAGACAGAGAAGAAGATCTTCTGTCCGATGATTCACTCCCCAAGTGAGCGCAACGGCCGATGCTGTGCCGGTCCGAAGCCAGGAGCCAGTAACTTCTTCTTGGTGTCCCACGCGGGTGCAGGGTCCCAAGGCATTGGGCTGTCCTCGACTGCTTTCCCAGGCCACAAGCAGGGAGCTGGATGGGAAGTGGAGCTGCCGGGATAGAACTGGCACCCATATGGGATCCCGGGTGTGCAAGGCGAGGACCTTAACCACTGTGCCATCCCACCGGACCCCCACATCAGGGTCTTTAAGGTGTCATCAACTAACTGTCCTCATCTTTGAGTGCGATGTAGTTTAACAGCAACGAGTGGCTCCCTCCCCATTTTCCCCTGTGGACACAGGAGAAAGAAAAACAAAACTGAAACACTTGTCCCACCTGCCTTCCTCAGTACTTTACCCTTCTCTCCACGCTAATCAGAGGCCCACATGGGCGGCATCCCTCTCAACCATATAAACAATATTAAAGAGCAAATAGAAAATTAAAAAAGAAAAAAGAGAAGTGGAGCAGCTGGGACACAAACCAGTGCCCATTTGTAAAGGGCATCACAGACATACCACTAAGCTCGCCCTCTTACCAGCATTCTTGAGCTTTGTTACAAGTGACATATTTAAGTTTCTTAGAATCACCCTCCTCTTCCCATCAGTTTCTGCATCTTACTGTCTTCTAGTAGCCCTACCCATAAAATTTAAGTCATCTTTAACCCTTGTCTTTGTTTACATTCCATGTCTAATTGTTGATTTCCCCTTCACAATACATCTAAAATCTGATAACTTCTTGGTACCTTCTTTCCTTCTCTAATATTTGCTTAAAGTTGACAGTGCAAGAGAGTGTGAGAGAAAATCTGTATACCAGCCCATTCACTCCCCAGATGTCCATAGTGGTCCCAGCTGAGCTGAAGGTGAGCGCTCAGTCCAAGTCATCTGTGAAGGGCTACAGGAACCCATTTACTTGATCCATCACCGCTGACTCCCAGGATTTCATTAGCAGAAAACTGCAATTAGGAGCTGGAGCCAGGGAGCAAGCCCAACATTCCTATGTGGAATGTGGGCCTCTTACTATTTAAATTGCTAGGCTAAGTGCCCACTGCCCACCTCCGTTAGTGACTTTTGAACTATTAGCATCCTGGCCTACGTTTCACTACATCTTACCTGAATTATTTTGATTATGTTTTTCTAGTTTTCTATCTGCTATCCTTGCTTGCTCTCCACCTTTTTTCTTTTTTCAAAATTTGTTCACCTGAAGTACAGAGGCACATAGATAGAAACACAGATTCATACCCTCAAATGTCTGTGTTAGCTAGGGCTGGGCAGGTGGTAACCAGGAAACCAGTCTAGGCTTCCCATGTGGGTAGCATGACCAACATTAGGGTGCACATTAGCAGGAAGCCAGAATTGAAGTGTAGTCAGGACCTAATATTGGGTGTCCCAGATGGCATACCAGTTGCTAGGCCGAATGCCCATCTCTTGCTACCTAGTCTTTACAGAGAAGTCAGAGCTATTAAAAGAGATCAAAAGCCTCCTCAATTGCTTCTCGGCCTTTTGGCTAAGATCAAGTGTAAAAGCCTCCTCAAATTATAGTCAAAAGTCCTTCTGACAGTCATGCTAACCTTTGAAATCTGGTTGTGTGCTTTAACCTGGAGTCCTTTCAATCTTGTTTATTTTGCTTCAGCCACTGTAGATATGCTTGAGTGTGTGTGTGTGTCTGATATAGTAAGAACAAAGCAAATAAAGAGTCCATAATACCCTTTGCAATTTACCTTAGAGGGAGGAGACAGTTAACAAACATTGAAAAGGTTAAATGGTGATAAAGCAGAGTAAGCATTTAAATGTTTAATGTTATATAAAAAAATATGAAACTATTTGTTTTGCTTCCTTATAATAGTTTATGGAATGCTAGACTATAAACAGTAGAACTTTTATGATTATGATTTACATATCATTTAAATAAGATATTTTAATTTTGACATTCTTTGTGTTTATGCTTATTTTACTACTATAAATCAAATGGTTGGGAGTGTTCTTTATTCTAATTCATTACTGAGTTCTTTGTTCCAATTGATGAGTTCTTTATCCTAATTCAGTGTGCTTTTGCTTAGGATTTCAGAAATTACCAATATACCCTGCCAGTAGTTCAGGGTTTGGTGGTTGATATGGAAGTTCGGAAAACCAGCATCAAAATTCCCAGCAACAGATACAATGAGGTAAGAATGATCACGAAGGCATCTCTTTCATAATTGAAAGCATAAATGAAAGGTGCATGGTTACACATAAATTTTACTATTAATTTGTAATGAAATCCATAGTATCGTGTAGTATTGTGTGGCTTAGTTAAGCTATAGAGAATTTCATTGCAGAAAGATTAAGTGCTAAATTTGTGATTTTAACCATTGATTGTGTCATTTGACTCTTTGGATTTGCATCTTGATGGTATAAAGTATAAAATTAACCTTATATCTATAAAATAGGTGGCAAGAATTTTTCAGCGTGTCTATAAATGTATATTATTTTGGCTATCCTTAAGCACAGCTTAGTGTTAAGTTTTAAAATAGCTTTAAATAAGGTTCTAAAAGGAAATGGTTGCACATTAAATTAAGCTACACTTTATAACTGAAATAAATTGTACATATTGTATGCACATCAACAGAATATCTAAGTAATTGTGTGTGTGTGTGTTTGTAAATGTAAAGATTTCTTAAAATCAATTCTTAGGTACAAGAGCCTAGCTCAGCATGACCTGTGCTCCATTCTGGTTTCTAGTTTCGCTTGTAGGCTAAGGTTTACTCATTCCTGCCCAGTACATCCCATTCCATTACCAATTCACACATTAGCCAATTGTTGGAGCTACTTTGCCCAGCTTGTCTGACCCCCAGGTCTGGACCACATGTTCACCAGCGGGAGCTATGATTCGCCAGGGGAGTTTCCCAAGTTCCTCCACTTGATCCATTCCCTGACCCAGTTCTTATACATGCCAGTGGGTTTTAGGCCAGATCCTGGCGCAGCCTGGCCTTCCATTTGGCCTTGTATGAGCTGGTGAGCATTGCAGCCCGCCCACCCCACACCCTATTCAGGATGTACATTTGGGTGCTGCTGCCTTGACCAGTCTAAACTGTTGTGGGTTCCTTTACCTGTGATTGATGACAAGCTCCTTGATGACACCTGGCTTAGTCCAACACCACCCCAACTCTTGAGCTAACCAGTGGGGCTAGAATTTCCACAGGGTTTGGCACACACATCCCCCACAGAATCTACCTCCAGATATGGTTCTCTTGTGTGCTAGTTAATGTCATGGTCCTGCCTAATGAGACCCGTCTGCTGCTGGACAAACCGTGAGCCTTAGCTTTTGCATGAACTGGTGCTCGGTGCTCAGCATTGCTAAGTGATTACAAGTTCTTCAAAGGAAGAGTTACTGTCATTGGGAATCTTTAGGATTGATTCACCTCCCAGAAGCATCGTGGGTTTAACCTGGAACTACCTAAGAAGCGATTCTAAGAACCAAAACTCCAGAGCTCCCTGGCTTGGTGGCCAGCAGGTGGAGCCTGGCACCATTTGGCGCACTGGCCGCCCGGGGACAGCTGACCACGTGCACTTGGTGACTGGCATCTGGGATCTGGGTATAAGACGCCCTGTCCTGAGACCCATCCACAGCCGAGAGGCTGCAGGAAGTTTAAACCCCCAGGCCCATGGTTGCGCCCCTTCCCAATCCTGTTCCCTGCTCATTGGGAGCGGCGGGTGGGCCCCGGCCCCAGACCTGCCCTGCCCAGGCACAGAGACCTCCATTCCTGGTCAGTGTACTCACCCCGAAGGGAGCAGGCCCCAGAGCCCAAGCAGGGCTGGGACAGCTCACCACGGGCACGTGGTGGCTGGCGTCTGGGATCTGGCCGTTTATGTTTCTAATTTTTTTTTTTAATTAAAGATTTATTTATTTTTATTGCAAAGATATACAGAGAGAAGGAGAGAGAGAAAGATGTTCTGTCCGATGATTCACTCCTCAATTGACTGCAACAACCGGTGCTGTGCCGATCTGAAGCCAAGATCCAGGAGCTCTTCCAGGTCTCCCACACGGGTGCAAGGTCCCAAGGTTTTGGGCCATCCTGGACTGCTTTCCCAGGCCACAAGCAGGGAGCTGGATGGGAATTGGAACTGCCGAGATTAGAACTGGCACCCATATGGGATTCCGGCGCATTCAAGACGAGGACTTTAGCTGCTAGGCCACGGTGCCAGGCCATTTGTTTCTAATTTCAAAACCAAATGTTAATGACATGTAGGAGATCTCCTTAGAATTCTCCTGCCCTAGAGCTGAATGAGGAACCTTTTTCCTAGAAATGCAATTAATATCCCTACCCTCCTAAAATCCTGTCAATTACTTGATAAATATTTATAGAATTGAGTTGTTAAAAACTTGCTTTGTTCAATACTTAATGTATATGACACTGCAGTTAAAAATGAATGACTTTTTTTAAAATTCTACATTTATTCTCATTTTGATTTCATGAATAAGATAAATTATCTAAATCTATCTCTTTTTTAATTCATTTAACTGGCTTTTGTGATTTTTTTTATGGGCTCCAAGGAAATAGAGAACTCTTATGTATTTCATTGGAGTTAATATTCAGGTACCATTTAGATCCAGCCACATCTTCTCATGGTTAGTGATCTATAAACTTCAGCCACTTTGTTGTCATAGCAGTTGGTTCTCAGCGTTTTATCTGCATGTCTTTCTCATTGATTTCTGAGCTCTCAGGAAGAATCCTATCCCATTATCTCATAAAAGGTATTGAGTTGGTTATGTTTGCTGCTTGTTTTAAAGTTACTTTAGGTTTCAATAGGCAGGGTGAAGAAGATAAGCAGCTTTTATTGATGAATACTTAAGTGCTTATTATGTGTTTGGTGCAACCCTCGCCATATTTTTTAAAAACTTTGTTTGCTTGTTTGCTTGTTTTGAAAGTTAGAATGAGGGCCCAGCGCTGTGACTCAATGGCTAAATCCTCACCTTGCAAATGTTGGTATTCCATATGTGCCAGTTTGTGTCTCGGCTGCTCCACTTCCTATCCTATTCCCTGCTTATACCTGGAATAGCAGTGGAAGGTGGCCAAAACTTTGGAACCTTGCACACATACAGGAGACCCAAAAGAAGCTCCCAGCTCACAGCCTTGGACTGGCTCAGCTTTGCCTGTGGTGGCCTTCTGGGGAGTGAACCACAGATAAAAAGATATTTCTCTGTTTCTCCTCTCCATAAATCTGATCTGCCTTTCAGATAACATATGGTTTTTTTCCCCCTTAAAATCAAGGATAAAGAAAGAGACAGCCAGAAAAAGAGAGCTCTTCCACCCACTGGTTCACTCTTCAGAGGGCCACAACTTCCAGCGCTTGGTCAGGCCAAAGCCAGGAATCAAGAGCTTCGTCCAGTTTTCTCATGTGAATGACAGGGATTGAGATACTTGATCCATCTTCTGCTACTTTTCCAAGGCCATCATCAGGGAGCTATATCAAAAGTAGAGCAGCTGGGACACAACTGATGCCCATAGAGGGTGCCAGCACCATAGGCAGTGGTTTTACCTGCTCCCAAGTTTTATAACTATGAATTTATTTAACCTGCATAACTCTGTGAAAGAGTCAATTCCATTATCTCTCATTTTACATTTGAGGAAACTGGGACACAAAGCCAGGTAGGTTGTCCAGCAGAGCTAGGATTCAAATACAGTCTGGCTCATGTTTTTGCTGTTAATCATTATCCAAGGTAGAGTGCAGATGATGGCATAAAGAAACTACAGAGAGTGTGCTAAGGCAGTTCAGAGAAAGAAACAGACCTGGGCATGTCAAAGTGCTGGTCTTGGCATAGACAGATCAGAGTCTTGAGGCCACAGTCCTGTTTCAGAGGTGGAATGGCCCACTGATGGCCTTTGACCAGCCAGATATCTGATGAGTACTAGGCAGGCCACATCCATATGTGACATTATGCTGGTCTGGGAAAAGCAAGCCATGGACTTTTTGGGTTCTAGGGGGCTGGGAGCCCCTCTGGTGGCCTTTTGTTTTGCAAAGAAGCCCAGGTTTTGAAAAAAAAAAAAAGAATCTCAGGTTTTCATGTCTCATCAGTCCCAGAAGTACAGGCTCTTTTTTTATTATTATTATTGTTATATTTTTATTTTAACTTATGTTTAAATTATTATCATCATTTTATGATACAGTTCTATAGGCCCTGGGATTTCTCCTGCCCACCCCCACTAAATTTCCCTGTTATTACTATAGCATAACTCTTCATAAACAGTTACATGTTCATCATTGCAGGCATGGACAATGGCAGATTGTTCAGCCTCCCATTATCAAGATACAGCTCATAGGTTCATTAGTAGTCCATCTTTGGTCTCGAAATAGAGATGCACACTGCATTTGCATCCTCACATCTGGACATGATAGTCTCCATTACACAGTCACCACATAACCCTCTTAAATGAAAGATGACAATACAAAATCAACAACAGGAGGAAAAATACAAATTTACAACACCGTGAGTTTCTCAAGAGATTTTGATAGTTCAACAGTCCTGAATTGTTGGTGATCCTGCCACTGCAATCACAATGAAATCTCTCCAGAATCCACTGGCTGCTATAGTCCACTTTAGTTTCTCCATCTGCCCAGATCTTCAGTGCCAATGATTGGCTGGGGTAGTTGGTCAATTTGTCCTGTCCCCCGTCCTGTAGCACAGGATCTTAAGTCTCAGGGACTAGGGTGTGTGACTTGACATCAGAACACACAGCACATGTTGTGTCACCTCTAATGCCGAATCCTGTTCAGTGGACATGATCATGCCCAGATACACATGAAGGATGAATAAGCCTATTCCTGTGAACCAGTTGAGGTCCTCACAGTCTACAAAAGAAGAAAGAAAAAGGCCAGGTGATATTGCTAGGGGAGACACAGCCATTGACAGCAGTTACAATTTGTAGGCTTGTTAAATGTACCATTAGGTAAGATGGGGAGAGGTTTCCAAATCTTGGTTAGGATTTGCAAGGCTTATGCCCCTAATCAGCAGGAATTAGCTACAGAAAATGAGATAAATAGTGTCTTTCAGCAATCCTTAAGAAAAAAAGTTGGACATTTCATGAGGGAATGATATGAGTCAGGCAGGTAGCAATAGGTGGAATTATAAGCCTTATCTCCCCACTTTGTGTTATACAGCCTTCCTACTTGTCAGTCAGGCGGCCGCTTTCCCAGGTTGCACTCTTCCCTTAAAACCTATAACTGCTTCCTCTCCCAGGCTCAATAGAAGCAGTGCAGTGAAGAGGGATGGTCTCTTTCTCTCAAAGTAAAACCTTTCCTCCTACCTTTTATTTCTCCCCATTCTTCCTTGGAATGTGTTTCTTTGATTTCCTCGCGTTTTAAATAAACTAAAGAGAGAGAGAGAGGAAAAAAATATGGTAATGGTCACATTAAGTATGTGATGGAGTTAAATTATATGCAATAATTGGTGCTTTTTGCTAATCAGTGCTTTGGGGGGTCAGCCTTTTCGGGTGCTTGGATTTGGGAGAATTAAAGGGAGGGCTGGGCTAGGCTTTTGGCATCATGGCTAAGTTGTTGCTTGTAAATTTTACATTTCGTATTGGTGTACCTGGGTTGGAGTCCCACTCCTGATTTCAGCATTCTGCTAATAGTCACTCTGAGAGGTAACAGATGATGGCTCAAATAGTTGGGTCCCTCCCACCAACATGGGAGACCTAAGTTGAATTCCCAGTTGATCCACTAAAAAAAAAAAAAAAAAAAAGAATTCCCAGTTGCTGGCATCAGCCTGGCCCATACCTTGCTGCTGCAGGTATTTGGGGTGAGTGAACCAGTGCATGAGATATCTTTGTCTTTCAAATAAATTTAGATAGATAGGAGATAGATAAGGTTAACTAAAAACACAGGCCAAGGAAGTGGTTGGGCATCAGGAAGTCATCCTGCATGTAAGTGCAGCATATAAAGATATAGTAGAAAGGAAGACCAGACATGAAAACTAGTTTAGGGTTTGAGCTCAGTAAGCCTGTGGTTGTAAGTGGAGGACCTACTTTCTCTACTTGATAAATGATGTCATGTTTCTCTAAGTATAAGCCATATTTTGAGAAGTATAGAAACACTATGAGGGACTGATAGCCACTGACTGTAGGGAAACCAGTTAATAAGGTTGTTATCATGGGGCCAGCTTTGTGATGCAGGAGGTTGAGCCCCACTAGCCACAGCATCCTATGTGGGCAACAGTTCGAGTGTCTGGATACTCCACTTCCAATTCAACTCTCCAGTAATGTGCCTGGGAAAGCAGCAGAGAATGGCTCAGGTGCGTACCACCCCCCACACCCATGTGGGAGGCCTAGGTGGAGTTTCAAGCTTTGCTTGGCTTCAGACTGGCCCAGTTCTGCCTTTTGGAGCTATTTGGGAAGTGAATCAATGGATAAAGGATCTCTCCCTCTCTCCCTCTCCCCCTCCTTCCCTCTGTCTTTCCCCCACCTCTCTAATTCTGCTGTTCAAGTAAATAAGTGGATAAATCTTTTTAAAAATGGAAAGGTTACTATGTCTAGAAAACAAGTAATTTGTCCTTGAATCATAGTGAAGATAAGGATAGGAATTGGTAGACCATAAAAATGGCACATCTGAAGTGGATAGTCAATATCATTTAGATAATTGTGAATTCGAGAATAAGGTCTGTTGAATGTTAGAGAAACTCTGGTTATAAATGAAGCATATTTTAACTCTAAAGCAATAGGAAATTTATTGATCTTATTGGCCTTGAAATTAATATCCAAGTAAGTGATTTCTTGCCATTTTATTCAGAATGTCTGAGTTGCATTGAAAATGTTTCTTGGAGTGCTTAAAGTAGACAAAATTAGAAACCACTTTTTAAAAAGAGATCTATTTATTTTTATTGGAAAAGCAGATTTCACAGAGAGAAGGAGAGGCAGAGAGAAAGTTTTCCATTCTGGTTCACTCCCCAAATGGCCACCATGGCCAGACTTGAACCATCTCAAGCTAGGACCAGATCTGAACTAGCTTTGGCTCCAAGCTAGGAGCCAGGAGCTTTTTCTGGGTCTCCCATACAGGTGCAGGGCCCCAAGGCTTTGGGCCATCCTCCACTGCTTTCCCAGGCCACAAGCAGGGAGCTGGATGGGAAGTGGAGCAGCTGGCACCTATATAGGTTTGTTGGCACTTGAAGATGAGGGATTAGCCAGTTGAATCATCCCATAAGCCCCGCTTTGTTTTGAAGGTTTATTTTAAATTTTCCTTAGGGGTAGAGTTACAGAGAGAGGGAAAAAGAGAAAGTGTATTTAGAGATGGATCCTCCAATCAGTTGTTAACTCCCCAATTGGCTGCAACAGCCAGGGCTGTGGCACGTTGAAGCCTGGAGTCTAGAGCTTCTGGGCCCACCACACGGATTCATGAGTCTAAGCACTTGGGTCATCTTCCACTGCTTCCTAGTGACATTAGCATGGAGGTAGACCAGAAGTAGAGCCTCTGGTTCTGAAAGCATTGCCAATGTGAGATGCAGGCATCCCAAGCAGTGGCCTAGACCACCATACCATGACACTAGTCCCTTGAAATCATAGCCTTATGATTTGGAAGAGGTGATGTGTGTAACATTATTTAAAATTGCTGTGTGTGATTATTTCTGTTTCTTTCATGTGATGCATGTATAAAGGCCAAATAAAAACCTGAATTAGTCTTAATGTTGATTTTGCTAAGCAGAAATCCTCCAAATGATTCATCCTGTTTGCAGTTAACTTTGGTAACTCTGGCAGAGATCATTTAGATTAATGTGGTTGATAAATATGTCTGAGAGTGGTATTCAATAATTATTTGGATGTCTCTGCAGTATTGTTAACATCTTTGCAAGAATTGTAACAAAGTAAAGCCTGGAGGTGACCAAGGGTTAGTTATATTGATACAGTAACTAGGAATAAGTTTATATCACTGGGCAGATTGTAGCCATTTTAAAGCATTTCATTGGGGCCTGCTGGTAGCCTAGTGCCTTAAGTCCTCATGTTACATGCACTTGGATCTCATATAGGCTCCAGTTCGTGTTCCAGCTGCTCCACTTCCCATCCAGCTCCCTGCTTGTGGCATGGGAAAGCAATCAAGGACAGCTTAAAGCCTTTGTACCTTGCACCCACATGGGAGATCCATAAATTTCTTGTTTCTTTGCAGCCACTTGGGGAGTAAATCCTCAGACAGAAGATCTTTATGTCTCCTTCTTTCTATAAATCTCACTTTCCAATAAAATTTTTAAATAGTTTAAAAAATTCATTAAAATTTGAATAGTGACATGAAGAAAAAGATGAAAAATAAAAGTAAATAACCAACTTATTGCTGAAGCCACAGGGCAGAATTATAGATCACACTAATTTAGATTTGTTTACAAGAACAAAACAGTGGTTTCAGGTAAGGTTCAGAATCTGGAACATTTTTGTTAAGAAAAAAACAGAATATTGTGAATTGGCTTCACTGGGCATCTCAAACATATTAGTAAAATTAAGAAACAATGAGTCTCTGGGAACACCTTAGACAAAGCTTCTTTGTGGATCTCCCCAATGGAACTGCTGGACTCAGAACCCTAACCAAGAAAAGAGAGAAGACAGAACAAATCAACCAACCATCTCAGCTATATCTTGGCAGCAAAATACGGGGCAAACAGAGAGTCTGTAATGGACTATGTCAACCATTGGATTCTTCAAAGACCTCATAGTGCTTGGAGTGGCAAGATTTGCAGCGATTCATAATGGTTGAAATATCAAAACCACTTGAGCAAGAACCTCAGAGCATACTCTACATCCGGGACCTGGGGAGATGGTGGGAAATTGGGTGGGCCTTCTCCCTTAATACCCCCCTTTAAACATGAAGAAAACAATGTGGAAAAAATAATAGTCTTACCCACTTCCTGTAGCCTTGAACCATTTTACCCTAATTAACTATGTAAAGATCATCAAAATATAATAAAAATAAATTTTAAAAAAAGAAACAATGAGTCTCACTACCTTGCTTATTGCAAAATAAGGCAGATACACTTAAATATGGGACATCCTTTTACGCTTAAAATGTTCGGTTATATATCCTCAGAAAATCCAGTGAACAAAGAAAACTGCTGCAATTAGCCAAACCATTTCAGTTACTCCACTTCGGTGCAGTGAGGAAAAGACAAAGACTGAAAGCAGTGCGTGTCAGCTGTATAGGTTATAGTACAAATCAGAGATTGTACAGGCAATGTTTATGTGTTGTTTTCTTTTTGCTAATAATAACTAATGTTTTGCTTGTTTTCATTATCTCATAGCCCCCCTTGACACTTTAATAATAATCTGATGTTAGTCTTTTCTTGGAGAAGGTTGAGTTATAACATGTCAGAAGAAGAGTGCCCATTCTTGCAGAGTAAGGTTAACCCTCTTCTTTGACTGCAGATGATGAAAGCCATGAACAAGTCCAATGAGCATGTCCTGGCAGGAGGAGCCTGCTTCAACGACAAGGCAGACTCTCACCTCGTGTGTGTACAGAATGATGATGGAAACTATCAGACACAGGCCATCAGTATTCACAATCAGCCCAGAAAAGGTGAGCGCTTGAGCTGGATGGAATTAAATGGAAGGTTGTATGGGACTTGGAGGATTGGGTGCATCAGCTTCATCAGCTCACTGTCTAGACAGCTGATCACTAACAAACTGATTAACCTTTTCAGGCTGCTCTGCAGGATTGTGCTGACTCCTGAGGACGTGAACAGGGCAGCACTGGTGCTTGGAGAGGCCCCATAGGAAGTGTGCTTAGGTGGCCTTGGAGCTTGCGGGATAACCAAAGCATACCCAGTGCGTGTTAACTAATGGGTTGGCAAGATTCTGAAGAACAGCCTCTAATATCAGTGCTACTAGAAATGTGGTCTCATCACTTGGGACCATGTTAGAAACCAGGAACCTGCACCTTGGATCTGCTTGTCATAATTTTAACAAGATCTCTATTTTATTCAAATGCATATGAGTATGAGAAGCATTGTTTAAAGTGGCATTACCTAAAGTATTTTCTCAGGTTCCATGTTTTAAAAAAGTTCACATAAATAAATAAGTTTTGCTTAGTAAATTAATTCTGAGAAACCATAAATTAAACAAGGTTAATCAACTTTCTTTACTGCTGTATATTTTAAATTTCTTAGCTTTGCAAATTTTATTTGACCCCAGTTTCTCCTGTCAGAATATTTACCAAAACTATCTTTTCTTTTGCGTATTTGGTGAAACACTTGTCTAGAAGGCATTCAGATTATTGTCATATAGTATCTCTCTCTCACACACACACAGACACACACACCACACGTATATATGAGAAGCAGGGGGAGAGAGTTCACATCTCCTGGCTTATCTCTCAAATGGCTGTAATGGCTGGAGCTGGACTAGGTCAAAACCAGGAGCTGGGGCCGTGGTTTGGCTCTCTCACAGAGGTGAAATGAACCCTATTGCTTGACTTATCACCTGCTATTTCCCATGGTTTCCATTAGTAGAAAGCTGCATAAAGCATTGACCAGGCACTCTGGTGTGGAATGTAAGCAGTCATCCTGATTGAACCATTAGAACAAATACCCAGCTCCAATAGGTTATTCAGTAAGTGAGTTATTCAGTAAGTGAGTTATTCAGTAAGAGCAGAAAAGAGTTTAACACATGTGAATTTAAATATGGTATCCAAAATAAAGTAGGCAATTAAGTCCACAGTCATACCAGGAATATTCAAATAAGTTCTGGATCTCATTACTCTGAGTATAATGATAAAAAAGGGTCTTCAGGAAATGATTTAAGACCTATGAGAAATATATAATCCAAGTCAAAGGAGTACTTTTTTTTAAGATTTATTTATTTATTGGAAAGTCAGATATACAGAGAGGAGAGACAGAGAGGAAGATCTTTCATCTGATGATTCACTCCCCAAGTGAGCGCAACGGCCGATGCTTTGCTGATCCAAAGCCAGGAGCCAGGAATTTCTTCCGGGTATCCCACACGCAGGTGCAGAGTCCCAAGGCTTTGGACCATCTTCGACTGCTTTCCCAGGCCACAAGCAGGGAGCTGGATGGGAAGTGGAGCTGCCTGGATTAGAACTCGCGCCCAGATGGGATCCTGGTGCATGCTGGGAAAGCAGTCAAGGATGGCCCAAAGCCTTGGGACCCTGACACACGTGAGAGATCTAGAAGAAGTTCCTGGATCCTGGCTTCGGATCAACACAACACCGGCCATTGTGGTCACTTGGGGAGTGAATCAATAGATGGAAGATCCTCCTCTGTCTCTCTTCTTCTCTGTATATCTGACTTTGCAATAAAAATAAAATAAATCTTTTAAAAAAGAGAAAGAGAAAGGTAGTTAAACAGAGATCTTCCGTTTGCTGGTTCATTTTCCAAATAGCCACAGGCTGGGCCAAATCAAAAGCAAGAGCCATGTGTTTCATCCAGGTCTCCCAAGTGGGAGCAGGGGTGCAAGTACGTGTGCCATCTTCTGCTGCTTTTTCCTATGCATTTTGGGGGTCTGTGTATCAGAAGTACAGCAGCTGGAACTCAAATTGGCACCCATGATGGATGCTGGCATCACAGGCAGGGTCTTAACCTGTCAGCTGAAAACACAGGCAAGACATCATTCCCATTAGAATTATTGGTTAGTTATATATTGTGATGTATACATTACATGTGGTTTTTTGAATCGTTGTATGTCAGTGCTTAATATAGAATCCCAACTGCCAAATATCTCATCATTGTCACAGGCCCACCATCTTGGGATCCGTCTTCACTAAGTTGTTTTTGTTGCTGTTTTAGTGACTGGTGCCAGCTTCTTTGTGTTCAGTGGCGCTCTGAAGTCATCTTCAGGATACCTTGCCAAGTCCAGTATTGTGGAAGGTAAAGAGTAAATTGTTTACTTCATGTATATTCCTTCTGTCCTAATTGGACAACTGACGCAGAGAACCTTTAGGAAAGCTTTGGTGTTCTGGTTTTCAGTGTCTATCGTAATGTCTCACTGCCAGGAGAGTTCTTAGTTCTCCAGAGAAGCGGGTAGAGGTGGAGATTTCATGAGAAAGTGACAGAAAATTTCAGAGATGGCCTTTCAGGGCTCCAGGATAAGTTACATGATGGAACATAGTTTTGATTCAGACATATCATTGGGTGTAAACAGGTAAATATGTAATGAACTTTAGTCCTGCCTACCCCCAAAATGCTGTGATCATCATTTGGATTTGAGATGTGCTTGCTGCTAGGTTGCTGAAATTAGATGTGACATAAATCCTGAACAAAGTTATGTAGATTAAATATTTTCTTGTTAGTTATTGTTTCTATTTTCTTGTTATTTTTTATCTCTTTTGATCTGGTTACTCTTATTGCATAGCAAGTTACTCCAAAACTAAATGGCTTAAATTAGCTGTTCTGTAATGCTTACTGATTATTCAGACTAGGAATATTGACAAGACAGCACAGGGACTGCTTGACCCTGCCCTGCTTCATGATGTTTGAGTTCTCAATAGGGACTCCTTGAAGGTGTCCATTATGTGAATCCTCTGAATATTCACTCATTCCTGTGCGTGAGATGATTTAATGCCTTGGATGTTGGCTGGAGTATTTATACATGGATCCCTAAGCATAACCTGGCAGTCTTTGGATAGTTCGACTTACTGCTTGGTAGTTCAGGACACCAGGAGTGTCCCAGCAACAAGGTGGAAGCTGTATTATCTTTCGTGAGCCAAATATAGTAGTCACACAAGTGACACTCCTTGGTGCTCTAAGAGAATGAAAGAATTAGACTTCACTTCTCAGTGGTTATCTGGGAAGGTGGCACTTCAGCAAAACATGTGAGATGGAAGATATTATAGCCATCTTTGGAAAATAACCTGCTTCACACAATGACAGACTTTTATTACCAAATAGCTCAATCCAAGACCCTGTCTCCACGCAGTCCTTTCTGAGAGCTGGCTTCTGCTGTGTTCATAGATTATGTTAAATGTGTTGGCCAGCGCTATATTTGGTCCCCCTTTTTGATAAGTGTAGTGAAACAGTGGGTTAAGTTTAGAATATGCTAATATCTTAACAACTAAATATTAAACTCTGACTACAGAGCAGAAACATATTATTAAGAAGTTAAAGAAAATCTTAAGTTAATGTTAAATGACCACTTGTTTAAGTGACTGATATAATGTCTATTACCAAGTACTGACTTTGGTAGAAATTGTGTCATTGTGAAATGACTAAATCACACTCTTAAAAATGTACAGCCTTATCTGTAAAAGTTTTTTTTTGTCTATAGTGCTGGATTGAAATTTCTTGGGTCTTTCATAAAGCAGTTGACTGTATTTAACACATTTTATTTAAGCTATTTAGAAATTATTTCAGCTAACAAAATGTGTGTCAGTGAAGTAGGCTAGCTGCTTGGCAGCTGATATCCTTGGCCTTCAGTCTCAGCACATGCCTTCAGTTCAGGAGCTGGTACCGCAAACGCAGCCGTGGGAAGCTCTGATTTGATTTTTGTTTGTCAGTTAGCAGATATGTTTTGGAACCATTTGCTTTAGTTCATCCACTAGCTTTTAAAAGATTTGTTTATTTTTATTGGAAAGTCAGATATACAGAGAGAAGAGGGAGAGAGGAAGATCTTCCATCTACCAGTTCACTCCCCAAGTGGCTGCAACGGCTGGATCTGAGTGCATCTGGAGCCAGGAGCTTCTTCTGGGTCTCCTACACAGGTGCAGGGTCCCAAAGCATTGGGCCATCCTCCACTGCTTTCCCAGGCCACAAACAGGGAGCTGGATGGGAAGCAGGGCCACTGGGATTAGAACCGGTGCCCATATGGGATCCTGGCATGTGTAAGGCAAGAAATTTAGCCACTAGGCTACTGTCCTGGGCCCAGTAACTTTTCTTTTTAAGATTATTTGGTTGAGGTGTTTGTTTTGAAAAGTAGGATTACAGAGAGAAGACCAAAAAAAAAAAAGATCTTCCATCGGCTGGTTCTTTCCCTAAGTGGCCTCAGTGACCAGAACTGACCTGATCTGAAGCCAGGAGCTTCTTTCTGTTCTCCCACATGGGTACAGGGTCCCAAGGCTTTGGGCCATCCTCTGCTGCTTTTCCCAGACTACAAACAAGGAGTTGGAAGGGAAGTGGAGCAGCTGAGACACAAATGAGTGCCCACATTGGATCCTGGCACCTGCTTAGCAAGGTTTTACTTACTGAGCTGTGATACTGGGCCCCTTATTTAGTAACTTTAACAAACATTTTAAAAGATGGAGCAACACAGAGGTATCTTCTGATGGTTTATACCCTAAATCCCTGCTGCCTCCCAAAATGCATTCACATCAGGAAGCCAAATCAGAAGTCAGTGGCAGGGCCCAGTGCAGTAGCCTAGCAGCTAAAGTTCTCACCTTGCATGCACCAGGATCCCATATGGATGCCAGTTCTAATCCCGGCAGCTCCACCTCCCATCCAGCTCCCTGCTTATGGCCTGGGAAAGCAGTCGGAGATGGCCCAAAGCCTTGGGACCCTGCACCTGCGTGGGATACCCGGAAGAAATTCCTGGCTCCTGGCTATGGATTGGCGCAATATCAGTCATTGCAGTCAGTTGGGGAGTGAATCATCGGATGGAACATCTTCCTCTCTGTCTCTACTCCTCTCTATATATCTGACTTTGCAATAAAAATAAAATAAGTCTAAAGAAGTGGGGTGGCAGAGGCTGCAGGCACTCCAGTATGGAACACAGGTATCCCAAGCAGGAGATAATGTGCTCTGCCACAATGCCCACCCCTGTTTAGTACACTGGGTGTTTGTTCTGCGTCAGGCAGTCAGAGCAAGAGAGATGAAGATGCGAACATATACATGTGAAGGGAGTGTGATGAATTTGAGGATGAAACAAAATGCTCTGTAAATCCAGAAGAAGAGTGTAACCACGTGCAAGCTTTCCCTTCTAGCAGTCTCAGCAGACGCTCTTAATTGTGTCTGATATGAAATCAACAGGCAAGTGTTTTAGGCAGAATCCATCCTGGCATCCCTGGCGGTTTAAATAAGCGAGAGGCACAGCTCAAGGGAACTGAAAATTCTGTTATTTATCAATTTGGGTTACAGACCAATGTTTTACATTCATCCTCAGGGATTTTCTAGGTGCCAAGTACTGTGTTTTGTCTGCCCTCCCCTTCGCCACCCTCCTGGCTTTGAGCTGTTTCCATCTCTGTTGTCTTGGTGCGATTGGCAGATGGCGTTATGGTTCAGATCACGGCAGAGAACATGGATGGCCTGCGGCAGGCACTGCGGGAGATGAAGGACTTCACCGTCACCTGCGGGAAGGCTGACGCCGAGGAGCCCCAGGAGCACATCCACATCCAGTGGGTGGATGACGACAAGAACGTCAACAAGGGGTAACTGAGTAACTTCCTTCCAGCGTATTGTTAGAGCCCGTCCCCTGTCCACCCTGGTCACAGTCCTGTCTGAAACAGGAGGAGTGGTTGGGGATGTAGAACATGGAATGTTAAACTTCTGGTCTGTTAGTTCAAGGTCTTTACAAGTTTCTCAGTGTATTTTTGAGGGGAGGTCAGTGGGAAGGGTTGATGAAACTATTGTCTATCTAAAGTTACTGTGGTCATAGTAGTATCCAAGTCTTTTATGATTTACAAAGCATTTTTCATAATACCATTTCATTTGACATAATAACAGATATTATTATTTCAATTTTATAGATAAGTAAACAAGTTCTAATAGGCTACATGGCATGCCAGGTCCCTGAAAGGAAAATGTGGCAGGGCAAGTGTTTGGCTTATCTCTTCCAGTGGCTCAAGCCAAACTTTTAGAGTCATCTTTTTTTTTTTAAATTTATTTATTCATTTTTTTAAATTGGAAAGTTAAATTTACAGAGGAGAGACAAAGAAAGATCTTCCATCTGCTGGTTCTCTCCCCAAGTGACCGCAATGGCCGGAGCTGAACCAATCCGAAGCCAGGAGCCAGCAGCTTCTTCTGGGTCTCCCGTACTGGTACAGGGTCCCCAGGCCTTGGGCCCTCACCCGGGAATACAAACCGGTACCCATGTGGGATCCTAGCACATGCAAGATGAGGACTTTAGCCACTAGGCTACCGCCCTGCACTGGAGGCATATTAGACACTTCATTTTCTGTCATACCCTACACTTTAAAAACACTTTTCTCAAAATTTCATTTAGATGAAAAGCAGAATTACAGAGTAAGGGAGATCTTCCACTCACTGGTTCACTCCCCAGATGGTTGCCAATAGCTGGGGCTGGACCAGGCTGGAGCCAGGAGCTTCTTCCCAGTCTCCCACTTGGGTGCAGAGGCTCAAGCACTTGAACCATCTTTCATAGACACTGTTAGGGAGCTGGACTGGAAGTGGAGTGGCTGGGACTTTTTGTTTTATTTCCATATGAGATGCAGACACTCTAGGTGGTGGCTTAATATGTTAGACCACAGCATCAACCCCCATACCCTATATTTAATCTAACAAGAAATATAGTATATGCTATTTCAAAATATATCCAAGAACTACTATTTTTTAAACCGTCTACTGCTAGCATCCTGGTTTAAGACCAGCATCATGTATTCTCAAGTATTACAGTAGCTGTTTTAGAAAACTTGAATTTTTAAAACATTTTTTGAGTGGCAGAGAGGTCTTCTGGTTCCCTTTGCAAATGTCCAGAAGGGTAATACTCTGCCAGGCCTGTGCCATGAGCCAATAACTCCATCTGGGTTTTTCGTGAGGGTGATAAGGTGTCCAGGCACTTGGGCCATCATCTCATGCTTTCTTAGGATCAGAAATTTCTCAGGAAACTGGATTGGAAGCAGAATAGCCAGGACTTGAACAAGCATTCCCTTATGGGAGGCCAGCGTCACAAGCTGCAGCTTACTCCCTGAACCACAACACGGGCCCCACAGTAGCACTTTATTGGAATACATTAGTCAAAGAATTGTCAGTTTTGTACTCAGAACCAAGCAGTGGCTTCTGGTAAGGGTTGTGCGTGACTTAGTAAGGCCTCGCAGCCTGTGGATCCCTCCTGCCACCCTTTGACCTCTCAGAGGCACTTCTTCCAGCTCTTGACACTGACTTTGGCTGTGCTTATCCTCTTCCTGTGCAGCGCCTTATGGAATCACCTCCTTGTGCCTTTCAGATCTTTTCCAAAATGTAATTTTCTCTGTATGGCCTTCCCAAAACAACCCATCCAGAGTTTAAAACTCAGACCTATTTCTGCCTCCCATTCCCAGTACTTACTTTCTTGTGTCCCTACATTTTATTTTTCATAAATATTTTAACCCTCTAATACATAATTATTCTTGCTTATTTTACATATTTTTATTTTGCTTATTTATTTAAGCCATTTTTGGCCCTGGTATGTAAACTCCATGAAGGTAGGCATTTTTGTTTGGTTTATTTTCTGCTATTATCACCAGCACCTAAATCACTATCTGGCACCTTAGTAAGCGCTTTAAAAATATTGAGGACCCAGAGCGGTAGGCTAGTTGCTAAAGTCCTCACCTTGTATGCACCAGGATCCCAAATGGGTGCTGGTTCGTGTCCCAACTGCTCTACTTTCCTGCCAGCTCCCTGCTGTGGCCTGGGAAATGAGGAGTTGAGGATGGCCCAAAGCATTAGAACCCTCTTGTGAGAGACCAGGAAGAAACTCTTGGCTCCTGGCTTCAGACTGGCTCAGCTCCAGCCATTGTGGCCACTTGGAGAGTGAACCAGTAGACGGAAGATCTTCCTCTTTCTCTCTCTCCTCTTCTCTGTATATCTGACTTTCTAATTAAAAAAAAAATCTTTAAAATAGAGTATAACATATATCTAGAATCCAAATGGAAGATAAGATTTGGTGGGTGACCTTGAGTTTACTCAAAGGAAGAATACAGGAAGAGGTGCTGTTGTGATTAAATCATGTTTGCATTGAAAAGAAGCAGCTGCTAGGAAAATGCCTTCTTCTTTGTAAGTACATGTATATTCTTTGACTCCTAGTTCAGTGCATAGTTATTTTCCATGCGAGCTGTGTTCATGTACATTCCTGTAGTCTTCTTGCTGTGATGTGCTGTGTAGTGACACTCAGAAGGACTGCTTTGTAAACTAGTAACAGGACCTGATAAGCAAACTGGATCCTCAGCTTAGAGTTGTTTCTCTTTGCTTTAGTGTTGTAAGTCCAATAGATGGGAAGTCCATGGAATCTATAACAAATGTGAAGATCTTCCATGGATCTGAGTATAAAGCAAATGGAAAAGTCATCCGATGGACAGAGGTAAGGAAGTGAAGTGTCACCTTTGACCTGATTTGAGCACAACTTGTTACTAGTCTGAGAGTCTATTATGAAAAGATGCTGGAGGGTAAGAACAAATTTTACCTTTATCTTTATATTACACTTTCCTCTGGAATGTCTTAGATCCATGGGAAGAAATGCCACCAGATGTAGCCTGGAGCAATCTTTCCTTGGAACTAGCTTTTAGGGGTTGGTTGGTGTTAAAATGCAAAAAGGGCCCATCTCTGAGTGGTTCATACTGTCCTTGCTGTGTTCTCCAGAAAGCTGAGTTGGTTGTGGTTGCACTTAGAACCATCTTGTGTGAGTTATCTCACCACTGGAAATACAAACCTCTGAGACTATGTAACTTGCCAGATATTGCAAGATAAATAAAGTAATGACAGAATCCTAATTCAAACCCATATCTGGTGGTTGCTTCTCGAGTTGAAGGCTGTATTCGAGGCTCACCTGAGAACCACACAAGCAGGGTGGGCCTTGTGTGTTTACACATCAGGTGTTGTGTGTTTACACATCAGGTTTAGTAAGCAGGTGAACTCTCAGTCTCTCCACGGCTTTGGGGCTTCATCTATACTTATCTTTGAAATGAATGATTGAATTGCAAAGGTATCCTTTAAGGGTTTGATTTTTTTCTAAAAAGTTTTGTGACTTTTAGCTTTTTCATCTGACACACAGGAAGCTGAGGCCAAGAGAGGTGGCAGTGCCTCACCAGATTCACAGCAGAGCTGCCCCCTGATGTCACAGGGTCTGGGGCCTGGCTGTGGCTCTTGAGCTGTTGTTGTCCCAGTGGCCTGTCCTTCATACCAGGCTCCCTGTCATCACGTGCGGTTCAGTGATTTGGCTGCTTGCCTTGTCTTGATTGCCACTTTGATTCATTTTGAGCAGGGCTGAGTCTAGAATGTTACAATTCTCTTTGACTCATAAGATAGTTTGACCTTGGTTCTCTCCATTTTGTTCTCCAATAATTCAGTGAGGTAGGCAGGCTTCTTATCCCATTATGCAAATGAGAAACTAGGCTAACTTTGTGACTGATGTGGTTCCTGGCAAGCAGGACCCCAGCGCAAGTCTCTGCCTCCCCCTGCAGAGCGCTTTCCATTTGGCACTGCTGCTCTGGCCAGCACTTCCCTCCGAGCTGCAGCATTGCAGCAGGAATGCCTCACTTAGCTAGGGGCTGTTGTCTGTAAACAGTGTATATTTGCATTTCTCTGCCTTTTCGTGTTCTTGCCTTTATAATGTTTCTTCTGTAAATAACCAGAGACACATTTTGCAGAGGCATGCTAGACATTAAGAAGCCCTTTAATTTCCCATAGTCTTGTTTATTCAGCACCCTCCTGTGTGGCTGGTAGTGGGAATCTCCCATTTCCAGGTTTGCTGTGCTCAGCTGAGTGCCCTCACACAGCACTGGCCCCTACAGTGGCAAGGAGGGCCGTGTGCGGGGAAAAGCCCTGTCTACAGTCAGAGGCAGAAGGCTGAGATTCTGGGCTTGGCTCCACCTCTCAGTACTATGTGCTCTTGAGCTAGGCTGTAAGCAAGCTAAAAAAGGAAGGGGCTGCATCATATCATCTGTAAGGTCTGTTCTCTTGAGAGTCTGAGATAATTTCCTAAGGAAATTGTCCACAAATAAGGATTACCTTTGAGAAATAAACAGTACAAAATGAGTTTCTTTTCTGAGCAGAATGATGGCCATGGCAGAGGTCATAAAAGGGCTATTACTACAATCTAGAAGCAGAGATTGGGGGGGGGAAGGATAGTTCCAACGACCACAGAGTCCTAATCACGTCTTCTTGTATATCCTCAAGAATCAGGGTGCACGTAGACAGTTAACTGTTCCTCTTGTTTCCTCCAAAATCTAAGTACAAGGTTAAAAATCTTTTTCTGGTGGGGGGAACAGGTGTTTTTCCTAGAAAATGACGACCAGCACAATTGCCTCAGCGACCCTGCAGATCACAGCAGATTGACTGAACATGTTGCCAAGGCTTTCTGCCTTGCTCTCTGTCCCCACCTGAAGCTCCTGAAGGAAGATGGAATGACAAAACTGGGACTACGTGTGACACTTGACTCAGACCAGGTAAAAAGTTGAAGAGGGCCTTGGGTAATATCTGTATTTTCTGCCTTTTGCATTTGCTACAACAGAACCAGACTGCTCAATTTTGCGGCCCTCCTGCCTAAACAAATGGCAGTATCCTGGGCTTTGCAAGAATAGTAATTATATCCCAGTGTGTTTGGTCTGACGCCCAGGTCATTTGAGCAGTAGCTTCATCATTCTCACGTCTCCATGGAGTTGACTTCCTCCTTCATCTTGTGCAGGGGACCAGCGTGTGAGGACCTGCCGTCCTTGTGACTGGGATCTGTGTACCCCTGCAGTCTCCCCATTCCCACTCTTCTGGCATCATTCAGCATTCCCTCAGAGGGCCCATCCCTCTGTCCCTCATCCTGCTCTTTTCCCAGTCCAGCTAGAACAGTTTTCTGTTGACAGGCGTCCGCAGCTGCTCATGCCTTACCTGGAAGAGGTATTTCTCACCAACATTGCCAGACTAGTTAGTGAATAAACAGACCATGAGCTGTTCCTACATCAATTTACCAGTTCTTTTGGGTCTCCTATTGCCAGGTTTCCCTAACATTCTTTTGTGTTCTTTGCAGTAACAGTACAGTCTTAGCCTGCCTCAGCTTGAAATCCTTCCCCCGTTCTTTCTCTTGTGGCCAACGTCTCAATTCTCTGCATTTCTTTCGCATTTTGGATGCCAGTGACTTCCTCCTTTGGTCCTGCTTTTGCTGCTGAAAAATTACTCTCCTTCTCCCTTAGTACTTTAGATTTGAGTCATTTAGGAAATGTGTAGACAGTGTGATTCCCATTCCTAGCTAAGTATTAATTCTGAACTGCAGGCTGCTGCAGCCCACGTGCTTATGGGGAGAAACTGGTTCCTGAAGGCAGAGTTGTGCTGTTAGGGTGAAAAGTTGTGTGCCTGGCCCCGTTTCCCAATAGGCTGTCAGTCAACAAGCATTTATTTTGTACTTGAGGTCTTGCCTGATGCTATACTAAGTGAGCATTACCAGGTTAATATGAATGGTGTGTTCTTAAATGGCACTGTAGACAAACTTCCCTTACAGAAGACAAAGAAAAGCATTTTTCTGCTAAATATGTGAGCTTCTTAGTGCAGGGCCCTGATTCCCTCATCTTAGAATTCCTGTGTTTACGGGGGCTAAGAAAATGGGACAAGGATGAGTACAGGACTAAAGGGTCAGATACCTGTTCCTGCCATTTATGTATTTCTCACTTTACTTTTCACAGCCAAATGTTAAGTAAGGTGTTACTCCTGATGCTGCATATTTTCTCCTCCTTCCCAGAAAACTAGAGACTTCAGCAGGTTAAGAAACTTGCCTAAAGTCACCGCTGAGTGATTGGGATGATTTAATAACAGTTCAGGGAACAGGCACAATCTGTACTCACTGTTGTATGGATAGCCCATGGCCAAGGTCATCTCCTTTCCTGCTCAGCCCCTGTGACTCTGAAAAGATCGTCTCGGTCCAGTAACCTTCATCCCCTTCTCTCTGTGGTATAGGTTGGCTATCAAGCAGGGAGCAATGGCCAGCCCCTTCCCTCGCAATACATGAACGATCTGGACAGCGCCTTGGTGCCGGTGATCCATGGAGGGGCCTGCCAGCTCAGTGAGGGCCCTGTCGTCATGGAACTCATCTTTTATATTCTGGAAAACATCGCGTAGACAGCAAGGACTTCATTTTTTCCTGTTCATACCTGTTGCAACAGCAGTCACACCCAAATCATTTGCACTTTAAAACTGGAAGATTAAGCTTTTGTTAACTCTATTAATGGGGTGGGGGGGATGGAGTGGGGGAGGATTAGGGAGCAGGGGTGGGAGAGGATAGCTGGGGATCCTGTTCCATAATTCTAAGTCTTCTATGCATTGTCCACCAAGAAGACCCGGGCAGCTTCTGGTATACTGCACAACAGTTATGCTATCTTTGCAGCTAACCCCCTTCTGTTATGGTTTAGACAAAAATTCAGCTCCTCTTCTAATTCTTACTTATGGTCATGTGCTCAGAAATGCTCAAATGGGTACAACCATCACCAAGGGTTGGGTGGGAGGGCAGAGGGAAAATAAAAAATGAAGCATCATTGTTGCAGTCTTTGTACACAATTGGGAGTAGCATTAGAAATGAGAATCTGGTTTATCTATGACACATGTGATGTGCTGCGATTGCTTCCTCTTGTTAAACATTCAGTTTGGTCACAGACCCAATAATTTCATCAGTCAGTTTGAAAAGGTACTGCTCCAGACCAGCTCAGCTGCTACATCATTGGCAGCTCCTGGAGGCAGAGGCCAAGCTGGAATTGGGTTCTCTCAGCATAAACCTGCAGTCCCAAGAACCCCCTGCGAACTAGAGGCCAGCATGGGACAGTGAGAGGGTATTCCCCAGTGGCAAGAGCTCACACTTGGCAGTGATGCTGAGGGGCTCGCCTTGGAGGCAAGGGTGTGGAGAGCAGATTGCATTCCACAACCACTTCTCTAAAGATTTGCAGAAGTGGCTTCTGGGAGCCCACTCTGATCTATGGGCTTCTAAAGTGACCCTTCTTAACAACAGAAACATCCAGGGTTAACAGAGACAGCCAGTATTTTTGGTGTGACATCCAGCTTATTCTTAATATACCACAGACATCTGGGGCTTCTATGGGGGAGAAGATTCCACTACCTGCTCAGCTAAATACAACTTGCCATTTATACAGAGCTTCTCCTTAGCTGAAAAGATAGTTGCCACTCTGGTAATCTTTAAAACTTACTGGATATTTACCAAATGCTAGATGTTTCTTCATCAGCACTTTGTAAACATCAGCTACATTGTAGAGGTAGAGGTTTTACCAGCTTCATTTCCCCTCTTCTATTTTCCCTTACCCACAGTGGTTCCTAAACACTAGTAGGTCCTACTTTCCAGTTGAATTTACCTCTACTACCACTAGTCATCTAAGAAAAAACTATGCATCTAGAGCATTTCCAACAAGGAACAGGCTGACCATTGTTTCTGCAATGTTATGATGATAGGACTCTTAGGGATTGTATACATAGAAGGGCTAAGCACTAGAATAAAAATGATGCCCACAGAGAGGCTGATGGTGCTGGACCAGGTGTCCACTCTTGATATACTAGTCTTCAGCTGCATAGCTTCATCCTGGAAGCAGCTACCCTTAGAGGGGCACACCTTTTAGGAGCTTCCTAAAACTTTGGAAAACAAGCCACTGAAATTTGGAAGCAGGGACTGGCATGAGCATGACACAGCAGGTAAACCAACTGCCTGTGATACCAGCATCCCATGTGGGCTCCACTTCCCATGCAGCTCCCTGCTAATGGCCTGGGAAAGCAATAGATGATGTAAGTGGGGCTCTTGGGCCCACATGGAAAACCCAGATAGAAGTTCTAGCTTCAGCCTGGCTCTGTCCTGCTGTTGGAGCTGTCTGGGAAGTACACTGGTGGACGGAAGCTCTTCCTTGCTGTGTATCTTCAGGGCAGGCATCTGGAATGGTGGTTAAGATGTCACATGCACACCTGCATCCTCTATCAGAGGGGGTTCAAGGTCTGACCATGCCTTCAGTTCCAGCTGATTGCTAATGCATATCGTGGGGGACAGCAGGTGACATCTCGGGGAGTTGGGTCCCTGCCACTCATGTGGGATGCTCAGAGTGGGACACTTCTGGACACCTGGTTCAGCCTGGCTCAGCTCTGTCTGTCATGGGCATTTGGAGGTGAGCCAGTGGATGGGAGCGCACTTTCTCTTGCTTGCTGTCTGCCTTTCAAATACATGAAGAATCTGGAAGCCTTGATGCAGGCTTGAGGATGGGGCTGTGAGAAAAGAAAATAATGTTCAAATTACAAGAATCTGTTCTTGGTGATCAAGACTTCCTGACTATAAGGTAAATTTCTTGTATATATTTAGTTCACTAGGTCAGAACAAAGTGTGCATTACATTAGATCAAAGACTGTAAAATTCTGAGATGATTTGGGTCATAACATTCCCCACTGCCTGTAAGTAATCTCCAATGTTTAGACCAATCTTAAGATGAGGCTGGGTCAGGCCCCTCCCTCTACTCATGCATGCATTGGCTTTTAAGAACAAAGGCCTTTTAAGAACCTCATTGTCCAAGTTGTGGGCGCTTTGTCAGCCTGTTGAGGCTGTTTTTCAGAAGTAAGAAGCTGTGAAGCCAACTGACAGTGAACAAATCATAAAGGAAAACTGGGGCTAAAGAAAACTTCCTATTGAAATAGAACATTGCCAGCAGAGGCAATGCATTTGGAACTTTTCAGGAAAACCATAATGATCCCAAACCTCTTGGCACACATAGGGTTAGATGCCAACAATAAGGGGAGGACCAAGTGGGGTCAGGAGCCTTCTGACAACCCCTTTGCTCCAGGCCACCTTGTGAAGGCCAGCAACCTCTGTTTTCATTCTAGTATCGGTGGCGCTCATCTGATCAGGAAGACTGGCCAGATAAGGCCACTGATCTGTAGATCCTCTTGTGTGGCTTTCAGGGCAGGGAAGCATGGGTCAGCCCTGTCAGCCCTGAAATCAAGACGTGCAGGAAGACTCTGCCTGAGTGGCGCATAGGCCATGCTGGAATCCGCAGTCAGCTCAGTGTGCCTGCTGCACCGACGGCCTTGAAAACAAAGACCTTCAGGATGCTCTGTCAAATTTAAGCTAATCCTATATCTGCCACTCCAATAAAAATAAATAAATTAAAAAAAAATTAATCCTTCAAAAAATGGAAGGTGGGGCCCAGCGCAATGGCACAGTGGTTAGGGTCCTTGCCTTACACGCCTGGGATCCCATATGGTCGCCGGCGGCCCCACTTCCCATCCACCTCCCTGCCTGTGGCCCAGAAAAGCAGTTAAGGACAGCCCAAAGCTTTGGGACGCTGCACCCGCGTGGGAGACCCGGGAGAGGCTCCTGGCTTTGGATCAGCTCAGCTCCAGCCGTTGCGGCCGCCTGGGGAGTGAATCATCGGACGGAAGATCTTCCTCTCTGTCTCTCCTCTCTGTATATCTGCCTTTCCAATAAAAATAAAATAAATCTTAAAAAAAATTAAAAAAAAAAGGAAGGTGGAGAGAGGGATGTGTGTTTATTCCAAGAAATGTACACAATTAGTTTTGAATATTAAATCTATTAGAACTACAGATCCCTTCATTGTCTCCATGCATTGAGACAAAGAAGTCTGAAAGCAGAATGTCTCAGTCTTTCCCCTGCGCTGCTCTGGAGGAAAGGCTCCCCCAGCCGCCCTCTGTTAGGGCATCTGCGCGGCAGCCAACTTGGTCAGCAACCAGTGTCACTGTTACTCAGGCTTTTAAAATGTACAGACTCTAAAATCTCCACAGCAAATTACACTCGGCTTCTTAAATAAAATGGCCACACAGACATACATATATATATATATATATTTTTTTTTTTTCCTTCCCCCTTTACCCAGGAACAGTCTTATCTTAAGTGCAAGAAAACCAACCCAAGATACAGCCTTCCCCTTACTTCCCACCAAGTAGTACCGAAAGGTTTTGTTTACTAAAGTTCACTGGGAAGCAGGAAGGCTAGTACAGCAGCTGTTAGAAACCAAGGCACAGGCAGAGAGCTGGGTGAACCAAGTTGAGGTGACAGGCTGGCACTGCCTGGAGTCACAGGTTACTGTCCCCACACTAAGCAGAGGAGGTTCCTGGTCACTCTCGAGTTCTCCCATCCCTCACAGTTACAGCATTTAAAGGCACATCCAGAAATGAAGCCACTGGGGCTAGGGCAAGCTACACACAGTTGCTGTGCAGGGTTAGGAGCTGAGGTCTCTGGCACAGAGCACTGAGGGTATCCTTGCTTAGCCCAGACTGGGGGGAGCAAGACGCAAGGGGATGGGGACTGCAGTCCTCCTGGAAGCCAGCGTATGTCTGCGCCAGCAACAAGAAGCCAGGGCCGGTCAGTGATGCTCAGCAGCATCTCGTGCAGAGGCCTTTAGCTAGCAGCACCTGCACAGTCACTGCCTGACCACTCCCCGGTGCTGACCACCTGCCACAAAGGGGCACGAAGCATGGTTGTTAGGCTGACCCATGGGGGAACTGTGGATTTCAGAGCATTTCCTGAAGAAAAACCTGGGGGTGGGGGGGGGGGGAACACCTTTCCTACCCCCGCAATAAGGGGAACCTAAAAAACCCAGCCCACGGCCCTGCCCGCCAGTTCTGCCTGTAGGTCTTAGGCGTGCATGAGGATTCCTGGGCTTTCCACACAGGCTGAGGCAGCGGCAGGGGGCAGAGTGCGGAGAGCTCAGAGCTGCCCACCTCACAAGCCTCGTGGCTCTAGGATCAGCCAGTTCTCGGTGACCACCTGCACGTCCTGGCCGCTCAGAGGCTCCCGCAGCCTCGCCTTCACCTCCAGCTTGCCCCCTGTGGGCTTCCGGCCATCCAGCACCTGTGAGGAGCATGGAGAGAGAGATGAGAACCAAGGGAGGCAGGTTGTGAGAGGAGCCAGGGGTCCTGCACTTACATACAGCAGACTCCACTTCATGCCAAACTTGCCTTCCCTCTGTTGGAGCGGTGATGCTTTACTTCTTATTTCAACAATCAATACATAAAGGCCACCAGCTCTAACTGTGGAGAGGAGACACCTGGTGCTCTATTGCATCCGTGTCTGCCTCTGTCTCCATGACTAAGGAGCAGCTGAAAGCCAGGGAACCCTGCCCTCCCTAGGGGTCCAAAGGGAAGTAGATCACTGGGTGGCAGGTCAGCAAATCCTTCCTATCTACCATGCTACTCTTTTCTAGGCTGCAATGCAATACGGTGCTAGAGCCTTGAGGAGTCTGTTCCCTCTCTGGGCCAGCACAGACTAGGCCCCAGCAGACAGGGAGCTGCGTGCTGCAGCAGGAGAGGTCTGTCAGTGAGGGTCCGGTCCTGTGAACTCTCCAGCTTCAACGCCTTTGTCAGAGGCAAGTTCTGTGAAATCCTATGATTCTACAGCTTAAGGAGCTATCTGGGAAGCCGTCCCAACAGACCAACTGCTTCCTGTGGGTCCCCAACCTGGACATACTGTATCAGTGTCAGATCTGGAGCTCATGCCATCAGGCAACTGTGCCAACCACAGGTCACATTCATCCATCATTGTTAGATTTGGATGTGCACTTGCAATCTGCAGACTGAATTTTCTGATCTTGTAAACCTCTGTGAAACGGAGATACCACCTACTGAACCACACCTGTATGGCTACAACAGAGACTGGCTTTCAGCAAGCACTGGCTCACACCGAGTTCTACAACTTGCCCACCCCGGGCCCTACCTCCACAATCTCTCTGATCTCACACTCGGTCTCCAGCCGCTCCAGTTTCAGATGTGCTGTGCCAACCAGCTTGTCACTTCTGAAGAAGGACCTGAGGATCCAAGAGGCAGCAGAGAGATTGGCTGGAGAAGGCGGCCACTGGTTAACTGAACCCCACGTCAAAGTGGCAGCAGAGGCGGCAGCTGTGATGTAAGCACCATTCCTGCCTCCCAGCCCACCTGGCAACAGGACCCACAGGATCCTCACCCTTTGTGGAAAATCTCAAACTTGATCCCTTTGCTTTGGATCACCCTCCTGAAGCCCCGGTGGTTTCGGTTGATGTTTAATTTGAAGAGCTGATCAAATTCTACAAGAGGAGGAGAAGGCAGAGGGGGTTAGCTCGTGGGGATTTCCTGAGCAAGTGGGAATGGAGGCCCAGGGCCAGTCTTGCAATTCAGGGTGCCTGCCACCAGAGGGTGGTGGAGAATCCAGGTCCTGATGGACCCAACCATTAGAGATTGTTAACTGGGAAAGCACTTGGAATTTGGGATAAGGATTCCTGTGTTAAAGTTCTACTCCTACCATCTCTGTATGCTGAGGTCCTAGGCACGTCTCTTACTTCTCTGCCTGTTTCCCCACCTACATTAACAGTATTACCAATATCTGCCTCTTATCACCTACATGGAATGAATCAAGTAATGTAGCCAATCTGAAAGCACCATGCAAACCACTCTGCCCACAGATATCAAGAGTTAGAGAGAGGCTAGAGAGGACCCCTGCGGCCCTCCCTCACCTGGAGAATTTGTGTTCTTCACCACAGCTGTTTTGCTTTTTTGGGCCTGATCCTAAAAGCCAAAGGGAAAAATATGAAAATAGTTTGAAGAAATGGATCAACAGGGACAGGAACACTACAGAGCATGGGCCGGAAGTCTCCCCAGCCCCCCCTACACCTATGCCTCCCAGGGGCGGGCAGAAGTTGAACCCCCATTCAGAGGAGTCTACCTGTACCCAAACCTCACCGAGTTAGGGTAGTGAAACTCAAAACGCACAAAAGCATCCAGGTCATCAGGGGTCACCCCTGTGAGGGAGAGAAGGGGGTCAAGTCAGGGTGTAGACAGACGCCCAGCAGTGGGTGGAGCACACGCACACGAGGTTCCTGAGAGGCCGAGACCCCGGGCTACCTGGTGGAGCCGGGAGGTTCATTCCCCGAACAATGATCAGGTGCATTTCTGTGCTGCTGAGCTCTGAGAAGATCCTACAGCCAAGGAGAAAGGAAACAGGGCTCGGTGGAACCAGATTCCCACTTCAGGGCCTGCCTGGCTGGCTGAGTGGTAACCAGGGGCAGTGTGGAGCCACAAGGGAGATGCTCATCTTGACCAGAAGCAGCTCGTGAGCTCCTCATGGATGGGCAGGCGCCGCCCCACCAGCGCCTCACTGCGCTGGCTGCACCCTCTGACCCCACACCTGCAGGGAGCCACTGTTTCCCTTAGGCTTTGGCACCTCACAGTCTGGAATGTCTTCAGCTCAAAGTGGTGGCTGGGAGGGTCAAGGCCCTGGGCCTGGGCCAGCTGCAGCATCTCCAGCTGTCTCTTGCGGTCCTGAGCGAGCTTCTCAAACCTGGTATGCCCGTAGGGATACATGTCAGCACAGCAGGGCATGCCCTCTGCTCCGACCCCCAGCCCTGTCCTGGCACTTACCGGGTGGTCTCGGCCACATTGCCCTGGTGCATGAACTGCTTGGAAAACAGCAGGCACTTCTGGAAATGAGGGCCCACAGTGACTCGGGAGCCCACTCAAGGCTCCAGTTTTCCTCTGCAGCCTCACTTCTGTCCTCCCCAACACATATGCCAAATCCTGCCAGTTTTCTGTCTCCTTTTACTCTCTCCCCTTCTGAGAATAGCCATTCCCCAAAATCCATGTAGCAAATTCCTGATCTTCCCTCAGAATTGGGTTTAAGCATCCCCTTTGAAAGCAGAATTCCCCCAACAGACAGCAATTCAGCCAAACACACCATTAAAGCGCAGGTCAGGGTCACCTCCCACCTACAAAGTCCCTCTCTCCCGCCACCTGCCTTCTGTTGTTTGACCTTAACAACTGCCCTGAAAGAGGGTATTTTCATCCTGTTTTACAGAGGTGGCCAGGGGCACGGAAAGGGAAGGGAGAGCTGAGGGCCTACTGACCTCATGCTGCTCCAGAAGTATCTTCTGTAGCTGGGCGTACACCTCCTCGGCCTTCTGGGAGAGTCGCAGCTCCTCATGGTGGATGAGGATGAAGTCACCCTCCTCATCTGTCAAGGGTGAAGGCACCTGCCAGGTCACAAGGCCCCTCGGGCCCCAAGAGTCAGATTACTCCTCTACGGAGACCCAAAAATGCAGAAATCCACACTGAATTCTCTTCAGCTTATAACCACCATGACAGGAGCTCACTGCCCCCCACTGACCTCACTCTACCATCTGACTACAACCAGCCGAACCCAGGGCAAGGACAGAATCACAAAAAGGCTCTTTCTAAGCCGTTAACACCCTATCCAAATCCCACTGCTTCCCAGAAGCTGCCCTGGTGTGATGGCCCTGCCACGCACCTTCTCTACCCAACAAGTCATGGGCCTGAAAAGATGACACTCACCTGGGACAGGTCAACAGGCCGGCCAGCTCGGGCCTGGATGATCTGAGCGTCTAGACACTTGGCCACCCGCAGGTGGGCCTTGGCCTGCTCCAGATCCTGTCTACGCTTGGCTTGCAGAGCTGCCCGCTGATACTGCAGTTTTCGTGCCTCCAGCAGTGCCAGCTGTTCCCGCACTGAGGGGGAGTACCGCTGGTTAGTGCCATGTCTGCCCCTCCCAGGACCCTGCACTCCAATCCTGCTCAAGCCCGACTCACCAGACGGACTCAGGGACTCCTTGGAACTTGAGGCCTTGGGTCCAGCCAGGGGCCGCGATGAGGGGGGGAGAGGCTGCGCTGGCTTCTTGGCCACTGGAGCCTGGGCTGGGGTCTCACTCTGCACGTATCCAAGAGGTGGTCACTGGGGACCTCACCAGGGCAGCCTCCTAGCTTGGCTCGCAGGACTGTGGCACTAACTTACGCACACCCCTGGGTGAGCATCTCCCCCTCCTGGGCCCTATGCTAAAAAGTTTCTCTGAAGCTCTCTATCCTGGGCTCCCCTCCCATCCAACAGCCAGCAGGGTCTTGGGTGGAGCCTAGGCTCTGGAATCACAAAGACCTCACTCAGGATCCCAGTCAAGGAACCCCCCCCCCCCGCCCACCTCTGTGAAACTGAAAAAATGCACTCTTGGGCTTGTTAGCAAGGACAACAGAGTCTGGGCTTTCTCAGCACTGTCCCACCCACCAAACACTAAAGTCTTAAGCCCTTGGACCAACCTCGTCCTCATCCTCGTCTTCATCTGCCAGGGCTGTGTCATCTGAAGAGGCCAGTTTCTGCGCAGCTGCCAGCGTTGCTGCCATTGCATCCTCCTCTGTGCCCACAGTGGGCTGCAGGCCAGGGATGGGGGGAAACCCTGCGGCATAGGGGGAGCTGGCAGGGGGCGGGAGCAGCCTCAGGGCAGTACGCGGCTGCTGTGGGGATGGGATCGCTGAGAAGTCATCTTTCTATCCTTAGTCCATGGACCAAGCCCACTCACCTGGAGGAACAGGCAGCTCAGCAAAATCCACCTTTCGTCCTGCTCGGTGTAGTCGAATGGCATCTTGATATTGCTGCAAGGGTGGGAAAAGGAGGACGTAGTGTGGGCACAAGTCTGTAGCCTTCACACCTACCAGGACAGAGAGGAGGGACAGGACTGGGGAAGAGCAGGGTGAGCAACCAGCCGCAGGAGAGGCCAGCACGGGCAGGTGGCCGTGGGGTCCCAAGCTTACCTTGGCAATGCGCTCATGCATCCGGGCCTTCCGTTCATCCCCACTGGCCCGGGCCTGGACGCTGGCCTCCCGATACTTGTTCAGCCTCTGCTGCAGGGCGTCCAACACTGTCTGTGGCTCTGAAGGAGCTGCTTGAAGAGGGAGGAGAGAGCACCTGTTCTGCTTGCCTCTTACCAGGTGCCCCACCACCAGTCCCATCTTCCTGTCCTACCTGGAGTTGCTGGGATGTTGGGAGCCATCACTGGCTGCACTTGTTCCACCACTGGAGATCCGAAAGGGGGCTCCCTGGGGGCCTTTGAAGTCTGTGAGAGAGCTTTCAGGTCTGAGGGACAGGGATCAAAGGTGTGGATGGGAGTGTCCGGCCAGCCCCAGGCCTGAGGATCTGCCCCACCCAACCCAACCTCACGCCACAGCCAACCAGGTCCCCTCATAATTCCCATACTGACCCTCAGGGGCGGGGGGCATGGCACTCAGGTCCACGGGCTGCCCCTTCTCCAGGGCCTCCAGGACAGCACCAAATCTCTATGAAAAGAGAGGCACAGCAACCTTGACAGCTGTCCTCCAGCTGCTCTCCCTCGGGCCAGCCTCAAATCCAGTCCAGCTCCTTAGCCAGGCCTCGGGCTTTAGCACGTGTAAAGCGAGCCAGATGTTATACCTTCCCAATCCTCATGAGCTCCCGGGCCCGCTCCAGATCTCCAGCCCGCTTGGCACTGAGGGCGGCCACTTTGTACTCTCTCTGTCGGGTCATCAGCAGATTGCGGGGGTCAGGCTCTGAATCCGGTGCCAGTGTGTTGGAAGTGCTGCGGTTGTCCAAGAGGCTCGTCTCGGGGTGGGAGGGGTCATCTACAGAGAAATAAGGGGCATGTAGGTCAAAGGAGGAGATGCTGGGGCAAGTGACTGACAGGCAGGCCACGGAAGCAGGACAGGATCTGGGGGTTCAGATATCCTTCAGATACCTGGCTCCGTGGTGGTAGGAGCAGGGGGTTCTGTCTCCGAGGTCCTGTGGGCAGTTTCCAATGGAGCCAGAGGCCTCTTGCCTAAGGCCACTGGAGGTGGAATCTCCTCCTCATTGATCTTCCTGCCTCTCCTCACAGCGGCCAGCTGGGACTCCAGAGTCTGAGGGGCAGAACTAGTCCAGAAAGCTGGCTAGCCTGGATAACCCCTGCCCAAAGGCAGGCCCCGCCCCTCCACAGGTGCACCCTCCTCCTGCACCTGTCGCACAGCCGCACTCCCAGAGCCCTGCTCACCTTCAGGCCTCGCTCGCAGCGCCTGGCCTTGGCCGCTTCCCCGGCCTCCTTGGCACTGGCCGCTGCTTCCCGGTAGTTGCGGATCCGCTCCTCCAGCATAGCCTGCAGCCCCTGAGGCTCTCCGGCCTGCAGAACCTCAGCTCAGGGCCTGGCCACTCCAGGGCCAGTCCAACCTGAGCCCTTCTCTCATTCTGAGAAAGCTGTCCAGAGACGGAGCTCTAGGACTCCACGTGAGCCTGCCCCACACCCACAGGGGCAATGCGGATGGAGTTCAAGGGCCTGCAAGCCATGCCCCACACCTGCACCACACAGCCACTGTGTGGTGGAAAAACCTCCAGAACCCACCTGAAGCTCAGGAGCAGCAGCTGTCAGGGCGGCCTGCGCTGGAGGGGCGAGGCTTTCTTGTTCCTCTTCGGGGGCAAGGCCTGGACTGCCTGCCTCCTCACCATCCCCCGGCCCCACCTCTTCATCTGCACCCAGGACCTCCTGCAGCTCAGTCTGGTGACACACAACAAGATGCAGGAGATTGGGGGCCCCACTGTCAAACCCAGGATGGGAGAATAGTGAACCCTTTCCTGGTATCTGTCACTGGGTCCAACCAGCCCCCTGAAACCAACAAAGACTCCACATCTGAGACTCCGCAACTGCACCACTCAGAACAGAGGCCAAACAGAGAATTTTTGCCGGACACAGCTGGGAAGACATGCCCAGGTAGGGTAGGGCAGGGCACTTAAGACACACCAGGACACCCGAGACCTCCTCTCTGGAGCCTTGGTCACAGACCCGGGCTGCTCTGTGAAGCCCTTGACACCAGCCTGGCAGACATACCAGCAGGTCTGCATCCTCCTCCAGCCCATCCTCTTCGTCCTCCACTTCTTCCACATCTCGCATACAGTCTGCTGCCAACTTCTCGATGTGGGCCATGGGCAGGGGGGCTGGGGAAAGAGGGGCAGGGTAGCTCAGATGAGGCCCAGGGCAGTGAGGCAGAGTCGTCAGCACACTGTATTGGCAGACATTCCCTGGCAAAGATGCCCCTCTCCCACACTGAGTCCCACCAAGAAACCATGCCTTTGTACCCCAGATCCAAAGACCCTCATCCATCTATCCTCCCACGCCTCCCAGCAAGCAACAAGCAGCCCCTCTGTGTTCTGTCGCAGGTAGCTAGGTATTCATGTTCTGGCTATAGCAGTCCACGTACTCCCCCCAACAACCTGCCACCTCAACATTTAATCCCCCTGGAGTTTTATCAAGTGCTGCAAGATGGGGACTATCACCCCACTTCATACATTGGATGAAGTGGAAACTATCAACAGACACCTCTAACACCAGAATCCTGGCTGGGGCAGAGTCAAAATTCAAACCCAGTGGGCCACTCCCCAGCCCTCCCACTCTCCCCAGCTAAGGGACCCATGGGACAGAAATAGTTCTCTGAGGGATCCTGGTGAAGAGAGAATTTAGATCCCTAGATCCTCCCAGGGCCGAGGTCTCTGGACCCATCTGGGCTACAGCGGAGTGCATGTGACATTTCTGTGGATTCTGTTCTACCCCACCCTGCTTTTAACCAGTCTGGCCAGGCACAAGAGTCAGACTGTGAAATGGGTCTGTCTGCAATGGAGAGAGGGAGGGAGGCCCCATCACCAGGTGCAGGGCCATGCCACACGGCCTCCGGAAGGGGATGCTGTACCAGGGAACCCAGCCCCCTTTCCGGCAGACACAGGCGCCCACCCGGGCCCCAGCACCCAGCCAACCCAGAGCCCACACTCACTCTGCCTCGTGGGTGCTTGCTTCCTGTCTGTGGTCTCTGCTTCCCCGGTGAGGGCAAGCAGCTCAGCCTCCAGATCCGAGTCCGCTTCATCCCCTTCGGTCTCCTCAATCCCCAGCAGCATGTCCTCCGGGCTGAACTCCACAAAGAGCCCCAGCTGAGAGCAGAGAGGGGCCGGGCCCAGCTCCGCATCAGGCTCGCTGGTTCCTTTACTCTGGGAGGTCCGGCATGCAGACAGGGCAACTAAGGACTGCGACACTGTCCCTTGGGACCCTACCAAGAACCAGCACCACTCTACTGACCTTGGTCTTAACAGCAGTAACCGTCACAGTGCCAGGGAATTAACCTGGTTCATTCTCCCAGACTGAGAAAGGACTTCATTTTAAAATTGTGGCAAAGTACACAGACCATGAAACCTACCATCCTGACCAGGTTAAGCACACAGGTCAGCAATACTTGTGCCAGTCACCATTATCCCTTCAAACGGAAACTGCACGTGAACACTCTGCCCCTTCTCCCGTCCTGGCACCGCCCTCCGCCCCATCTCCCTAGCCATGACTGTCCAAGGTAGGGACAGTGCCTGTTGATACCCCACAGTCCCGATGAAGTGGACACAGCCTTCTCTGTGACAAGGCCAGAACTGAAACCCAAAGTGCTCACTCGTGCCGAAACCCCACCCCCTGCCTCACCTGCCTCAGCACAACTGAACAATGAAAGAAAGGAAGAAAACTGGGGGCAGGAGGGCCCCGAGTCCTTCAGCAGCCGAGCCCTCCCCCTGGCCCCAGCTCTCAGGCCCTGGCATCCTTGGCGGATATGCCAAGCTGTGCCCCTCAAAGGGGAAAACCCGAGAGTGCTGAGGTCCCATCAGGAGACACTATGCCTCAGCGGTGCCTCAGCGGTACCTCCCCGTCTCCTGGGTCACTTGCACAGAGCAGTCATGGCCAAAGAACATCCAGGTTCAAAGCCAAGAGCAGGTCTTGGGTTTGCTCTCCCTATGGTGGACAGCAGGGACAGTCGAGGGCCCTAAGGGCACTGCCACTGCCAGGAGGCACCACTCAGTGTCTCTGGGCTAAGGAAAGCACTGGTGCTCCCGTCTGCCCAAGCTGTGGGGAGACCTCCGAACCCTGAGGTGGCCCAGAAGTCAAAGAGGTCATGACCATACCTGCTTGGCAGCTGCCACCCCCTGGCCACTGGCCTTCTGACGTCTTGGCCCTGGCATCCTGGCGGCCTAGACACCTGTCAGGTGGGAAATGACATTTAGGCACTAAGCAGCCAGCTGGCTCCAAGCCGCCCACCCAGGTGTGCAGCCCATGGCAAGCTGGAGTTAGCTTCTCCACAGGACCAAGTTCAGGGATCCAATGCCAATGGAGTGACAGTGTTGGAACCAGCCTCGGGCAGAGAAATAGGACAGGCTCTGCCTCTCTTCACACGAGTGTGAACACATAAGCTCAAGTACCCCAAGGATGGGCAGACTTGCAAGGCCGATTCTGGGAAGTGACTCGATTCAAGGTGCTCCCAGCCTGTGTAGGATCCACAGGATTCCAAAGCAGCACTGGCCACACGTAATTATTTTAACTCAAGTGAATCAATCCAGATCCTCAGCCACGGTCAAGGTGGCTACCACTGGAAAACACACACACACACACACACACACACACACACATACACATATATCACCTTCTTGTTACGTCAAGAAGCCGGGGTTAACACTGTGACCTGACACCATCATTCATAGGAGTGTGTGTGTGTGTGTGTGTAAACGCGTGCGCCCAGGGCACAGCCCCCCAGTGCATCTCTCAGGGTCTCAACTCATCAGGAACATTCAACCAGTGCAGGCAAACTCAAGCCGAGTGCCACACAGGGTCACTCCGGGGACAGTGGGGACCCCAAGGTGGGCCCTAATCCAGCACAGGCAGAACCTTTGTGCTGAGTCATGAAAGAGTCAGGAGTGGGCGGGAGAGTAGGATTCCAGGAATGCTTCTGGGACCTGCAGAGGAAAACGTTTGGAACCACTGGGGCAGAAACTGGAGACCAGAAATGGCACAGGTGAAAATGTCCATGGGAGCAAGGGGGCAAAAAAAGGAAAGCTTTCAATCCCAAAGAGGCGCGCATCAGCCTGCGGGGCGGTGGGAGAGAAGCCAGGCGTGGGGTGCGGGGATCCCGGGCCCCAGAAGGCAAGGGTACAGGAAGAAGGAGGGAGGTGAAAGCAGGAAGCCGCCTCGGGCCCGAGCATCTCCCAACCGTCCCGGAGGCGCCGCGCTGACAGGGCGCGGGGTGGCTGTCCCCGAGGTGGAGGGCCAGTCCAGAGCTGGGACGCACACGGACGCGCTCTCAGAACCGGCAAGGGGTGCTCGGGATGCCGCCCGGTGTCGGACGTCGGTGACTCTCGGGTCAACTGAGGCGGGGAGGAACGAGGGGGACGGAGCCCAGGGACCCTCACACACGCCGCGTCTGCGGCTCTGAGCGGGTGCCAGCCCCGGGCTCCGTAAAGACGGGCAGCAGGGACCCCAAGGAGCAGCCGAGTCGGGGCGCCGCGCCCGGAACGGCCCTGTCCAAGCCGCCTGCATCTCCCCGCCGACCCCGAGACCTCCCCACGTCGGGAGGCAGATTCGCGGCGGCATACCTCGCTGCGGACGCCAATCAAACCCGGGCCTCGTCCCGCCCGGCACGGCCCGGGGCGGCGGGGGCCGCAGCCACAGGAAGCGCCCGCCCGGCCAGCCGCTCGCGCCTGACACGTGACCGCACCGCCCGCAGGCCGCAGTGCGCATGTGCGGGGCGGGGCGCTCCGCCAGGTGACTCCGAGGGCTACGTGCGCAATGCGCAGGCGCCTTCGGGCAGGTAGCGCGGGCCCGGCTGAGGGCGGCTGGGGCGCTTCCGCCCGGTCCCCGCCTGTCCCCGCCTGGTCAGCTGCTGTCCCCGCTCCCGGCGAGGCGCCCTGGACGCACGGCTGCCTGACCAGTCCGGCCCGCGTCGTCTTTATGGGGACGCTCTCCCGCACCTACCCGATCCTGTTTGTAAGCTTCCCCCATGCTGATACGTATACACCTTACAGGATTTCATTTCTACCGGGCAGTCCACAGTATGAAAATAAGTCATTTTCCCACGGAGATGCCATTGCAGCGACATGAACGTCCTGTGCGTGATTGCTGTGCCTACACGAGCTACGTACATACTTAGGACTAGAACTCTTGACTCAAGGATTTCTTGCATTTTACCATTCAAATGGTCCACAAACTAGGTATCTGTTTCCTCTGCCATCAACAGGGGGCATTTTGGATCAAATTGTCAAAAACAAAACAAAAACAAAACAAAACAAAACCGAAAAACCACACTTACAAATGTTTCAGTAAAAACATTTTCCTACACTACATTACCACACTCATAAAATTTAACATATGGTACAATTCAGGATTCCATTTATAAATACATGTTTAAGATTGATTTAATTTATTGGAAGGGCAGATTTACAGAGAGATATTCTGTCCACTGGTTCACTCCCCAAGTGGCAGCAAAGGTCACAGCACAGAAGATCCGAAACCAGGAGCCTCTTCCGGGTCTCCTATGCAGGTGCAGGGTCCCAAGGTCTTGAGCCATCCTCCACTACTTTCCCAGGCCACAAAGCAGGCAGTTGGATGGGAAGTGGAGCAGCTGGGGCATGAACTGTGCTCCATTGGGACCCCAGAGCTTGTAAGGATTCAACCAGAGACATCAGAGACATTGTGCTGTGCCCTGGGTGGTTTTTTTTTTTTTTTTTTTTTTTGTCTTTATAAAGATCTGTTTTTTATTGGGAAGCAAGAACCGGTATGTAGCTCTCATGTTTCTTTTCTTATCATTTAAAACTATCTAATCCGTGTTTGGAATTTGGCTTTTACTTTGGTGACATAAGTACTTTCAATGAGAACAGCAGTTAGGAGTATTTTTCCGGTAACTTTCATAATGTTTACGTTAATAGATTCAGGACAAACATTTCTGACACAACCACTACATGGATGAAGTTGTATATCCCTCAGTGCCCCACAAGAAGATGTGTTTATCTTGTTTGTTTCCAGGTAAATGTTGGAATTAAGTTGCAGACTCATCTGAGAAACTGCCAGGATTCTAATTGGAACTGGTCGTATCTAAAGATTAATTACATGTCTCCATAAGGTCCTAGTTGCTTTTGGCTTTCTGTACTACATTAGGCATTTGGATTTAGATTTGTTGTCATGGGTGTTTGATACAGTGGTTAAAATACTACTCGTGAGGTGTGCAAGGCCTTGTTCAGTTGCTAGCCCAGCTTCCTGCTAACCTGCACCCCAGGCAGCAGGGCAAGGGACCAAGGACCGGTCCCTGCCACCCACAGGGAGAGCTGCATTGAGCTTCTGGTTTCAGCCTGGCCTCATGCCAGCTGTTGTGGGCATGACTGAGCAAGTAAAATATCACTGTTCTTCCTTTGCAAACAGATAATTAAGTTTATACACTTCTCGGATAAATAACACCTTTTAAAAATTTGTTCACTTTCTAGCTATTTGTTGCTTGGGCAGGTTTTTTTTTTAAACTGAAATGTTTCATTGTATAAAATTTGAGACATATAATGACGTGCAGTTAAAAGTCCTCCAGGCCCTCATTATAAATCATTGTTCTTTCCTAGAGAAAACCAAAATTTTTTTTAACTGCAAAGTCAGATATATAGAGAGGAGGAGGGACAGAGAGGAAGATCTGTCTGATGATTCAATCCCTAAGTGACCATAGCAGCCAGAGCTGCGCCAATACAAAGCCAGGAGCCAGGAACTTCTTCCAGGTCTCCCACACAGGTGGCAGGGTCCCAAGGCTTTGGGCTATCGTCTGCTGCTTTCCCAGGCCACAAGCAGGGAGCTGGATGGGAAGTGGAGCTTCAGGGATTAGAACTGGCGCCCATATGGGATCCTGCTGCATTCAAGGTGAGGACTTTAGCTGCTAAGCCACTGTGCTGGAAGATAACCAATCTTACATATTCTACCAGAATTACTTTATGGTACACATGTATCTATTATAGGCACATACTAGTATGTATGATGTTAACATTATATAAGCAGCAGGGCAGCACCAAGATGGGAGAGGGCCTGGAATAGAAAGGACAGTTCAATTTAAAAAAATTATTTTTATTGGAAATGCAGATATACACAGAAAAAAGACAGAAAAGGTCTTCTACCCACTGGTTGACTCCTCATATGGTCACAACAGCTGCAACTGAGCTGATCCAAAGCCCAGAGCCTCTTCCGGGTCTCCCACGCAGGTGCAGGGTCCCAAGGCTTTGGGCTGTCGTCTGCTGCTTTCCCAGGCCAGAAGCAGGGAGCTGGATGGGAAGTGGAGCAGCCAGGACCTGAACCTGCACCCTTATAGGATGTTGGCAGCACAGGGTGGAGTCACGCTGCCAGCTCTGGAAAGTTTGATTTTTATAGTCTGATGTTTGTGTTGACTGTATACTGTACCAAAAACCATGAGAAAGACAGTAACAATTTGAAAACAAAAAAATAACTTAGTGGAAAATTTCAAGACATACCACAACCATTTCCAATCAGTATAATTTGTTACAACAACTCTATTCTTTAAAAAAAAAAAAAAAGAAGCTCTTTAAAATATTAATTTTGTCATTTATGTGAAAAGCAGTCAGAGATAGACAGACACCTTTCATCTGTTTGTTCACTCCTCGAATGGCCAGGCTGGCATGAGGCTGAGACTGGCAGCCTGGAACCCCATGGTGTCTGCATGTGGATGGCAGGGACCCAAGCAGCGTGGAACAGCCAGGACTTGAACTGGCACTCCAGCAGAGGGTGCTGGCAGTGCAGGTAACCACAGTAAGAATCAGCAGACCACAGTCCTTGCTGTGAAGCACACTCACTCTTCCTTCAGCGCATAGAGCACGTCATCCTGGCTCACGTTGAGCCGCACTCGGAGCAGCAGGTCATTCCTGCTGGGCTCCGTGAGCAGGAGGCGGCAGGAGCCCAGGCGAGAACACACAGCCATGGTTTCCGACATGGTGGGGTAGGGCAGTCCCTCCATTCTGCACAGTGCCACATGCTGATTATAGATCTAAACACAGAAAGCAAAGCGAGGGGTAAGAGGAGAGGTAATCGTGAGCTTGTCCCTTCATTCGATCCTTCTTGTGACAAAAATTAGACAACTGATACCCACAATATACCAAGGACTCCAGAAGGCACTGATGGGGGATCCAATGCAGGGGAACGGGCAAACCCAGGAATCAGAGAACAGCAGGTCTGAATCATGGTTCTATCCTTTCCCCAGATATGCAATTCTGGGTAAGCTGTTTCACTTGTGTTGATCTCAGTTTCACCTGTAAAAGTGCCGACTGCACATTCCTGAGAGTTACTCAGTACAGCATGGCAGGAAACCACTGTGGTCCCACAGGCTTGGTCTCCAGGGGCTGACAGTTCCACAGTCTAGACGGTCAAAATTCAGGTCATATTTTTCTACGTAAACACTTTCCGTATCAGAGACAGAAAGCAGGAGCCAAGACATGGTTGCTGGAGAAGAACACAAAGCCCGGACCGGCAGGAGGGCAGCTGTGAACAGGGATCACTGTACTGAAACTGCCGTTGCCTTAGGCAAACGAATCGCACCTCAGGTCTTCCTCCACACTAAATGTTTATGAGTCTTTCCTGTTTTCCAAGACCACAGGCTTGCCAGGAGCAGGGATAATGAACCAATTCTGCTTGGGATTTACAGCACTCATGGTTCCCGGCACACTGCAGGTGTTTGGGAAGTGTGTGCAGAGGGGAAGGAAGCCGCTCTATAGAAGAACCCTGCAGGGCTCCAGGAGGACAGGAACAGGCAATATAACGTTTACGGAAGGATTTATAAGCTTGGGAGCAATGGCTTAGACCACTTAGTCCAGGTTTCTGTAAGTTTATATACTAACTAGGTTTTTGCAAATTCATACTTCAATGTAGCAAAATGATAAAATCACTCAGTAACTCATTTCTCATAATGAACTGCTATCAGTAATTGACACGTGACCGTTTGCAGAGCCCTGAACTACAACGTGAGAAATTGAAAGGGAGACGAGTCACCTGCTGAAATGTCGCTTCCTCCAGTCCTGAGCGTCGGAACTCTGCAAGGATGGCTCGCAGGAACCCCTGTTCCAAAACCGAGGAATTCCTTCAAGGAAACAGAGGGAGTTCTAAGTGCCTGTCCCACGAGGCCAAGGGAAACCCACACAGCGCTCCCCTTCTCCACGCCTTTAGAGGGAGAGAAAACTGGGAAATGCTTCCTGCTACATTCTCTGGCACCAGGTGTGTCCCATGCGACAGGAACTGGCTCTGGAAGCAAGGGGCCGTGCAGAGGACATCTAGAGCAAGAGCGTCATCTCAGAGACACACTCCACGTTGCACCTGCTGAGTATGTCATTCTGTGTGACAGAAACAGCTCTCTCCTTGCTCAAGTGTTCTCAGATTTTCCTAGGTTTCTGCTTCCCAACTTGACCATGCCCCTAAAAACAGCCCCAAACCAGCTGTGCATTCTCATGAACGCAAAAGCAATGTGTGACTGCTGAGGGCTCCCAGGACGGGGCCCTCCCTGCTGCTCTCCTGGCGAGGTCTGCACATAGGAGTCAGAGTGTCTTACCTGATGGCAGTGATGTATGAGGAAGAGAACATCTCATCCACAGCCTCCATGAGGTGGGCCACAGTGACCAGGCTGGGGGAGTCGGACTTCTGTTGGGAGAACTCG